CTAGAAACAGCTAGTTACACCATTCCCCCGGGCATACCGCATTCTTCACCATGCATTCAGTCGTGGGTACTCAACGACTGAACCTACTGGAATGAAGACGGGTTTCACTGAAAATTGGGGACGGGCCCCCCCAAAATGGCAATGTTTTTCGGGAAATTGATGATAATTTCTACAACATGTCTAAACTGTCTAGACCATAGATATTTGGACTTTGGGGTACACCGGGTACACCTTAATATTTCAGAATCTTCCGAAGATTTGAGCCCAACTTTGCCAGGTTTGGACAGTTCACTATGCCAACATAGGCGAACTGTCGACTGTCGTGGTGTCCCAAATTGGGTCGATACTGCGGGGGTTCCATGTCAGCTTGAATATCGTTGACTTTGTAAGCTTCGTGATGACCAAAATTGGGAGTTTCCATCAATGGGGGATCCCCAAAAATGCTTGGTTTACTGAAAATCCTATTAAAATTGATGATTTAGGGGTACCCCCATTTAAGGAAACCTCTATTTCGGCTATGGTACACAAACAAAATCTTGAGACTGCCGTGGGATTCTGACGTAACATGACGTAACATCCACCCAGCTCTGCCAATGATCTGTGTGTGTGCTCTGCAATCGTCCCAGTCTAGATAGACACAGTCAGGTAAGGCTCCAATTTTAATTATCAGGTCATTTTACTGTTGGGGGTGCTCAAAGATTGCTGTAACATTTAAGCGCTCATTTTTAAGCAGGACTAGAGGGTAAGCATATCCATTTGCCATGGGCCAAAAATCATGGCGATATACAGATCTGGTGGTTTCAGATACACAATGATTCTTTGTTTCCTCTACCGGGATCTCCGAATGTGCCCGTGTTCTGTTGGCTACTCCAAGTTACCACACTGCTGGAGATGAATTCATCTCTCGTGTTTCGGTTCGTAGGTTCTCCCATGGGTAACAACTCTGGTTACTCGGGCCGATTCATGGCAGGCCTTCATCAGTTCGGAAATTTGAGGTGCCAACTAATTGGGGACGTGATTCGTTTGGGATTTGGCTGGAGGGAGCTGTTTTTTTTGTTTTTTTCTGGGGCAAGCCATAGATAGGACAGTTGGAAACCTGGAAATGTGAGGTACATGTCATACCATCCTGGAAGCGCTTTTCTATCTTTCGGGGATTATGTAATGTGTTGAACAGGTACGCTGAGTATACCCTCATCAAATCCACCATAATAGTCAGTCCATGTTTCATCGTTTTTGTAGGACACACTTTGTAAAAAACAGCTTACATAATTACACGAACTCTGACGTGTCCAAGCACGTGTTTGTTTTCTACCAAAACCGCTTCAAAAAAATGCCAAGTTTGCTCGTCAAAGTTTCACCATTTAAAACAAGCAAACATGGTAATGTCAAGTCCACCCACGTGTGGGAACCATGGCAGGTTCCAAATGCTGTTCCAACTTCCAACCTGCGATTGCATATTTAGACATGTCCTTTTTCCCGCTGGTTGGCTACTTTCCAGGACGGCACATCGAACGACCCGGAAATGATAATAGAACTAGTACGTATGCCGAAGCCACTCTACCTTTCCAACAAGGACATGATATGACATGATTAATTCGCATGGATTCTATTCTTTTCCAATGGATTCTAGCCGTTCCATTGACAGATTTTCGCCTGCAGGATTCGCAGAGAGACTCAGAAGTATCGTTTCTCCTCCGCTGCAGATTTGTCTCTTGGCATGGGGGAAGAGTGAGGTAATAGTTAATCTATGTCAATCTTCCCGAAATAAACAGATCCAGTGCTATTCTCTCGGAGAAGTGATGGATGATCAGATGATGTCAGCGATTTTTTTATGAGTAAAAACATGTGAAATCATGGAATCGGCGGTTGAGCATCAAACTTGGGAAGCGGTCCTGTAAATTAGACATTTCCCCGCAGATCGGAACGTCAGCCACACATGTCCAAATCCTTAATCCAGTAGTTGTTTGGCTTTGGCTCACTGAATCACGTCATGCTTGTATATGTTTGTGATATTTGTGTAGCAGTTTTTGTCTCCGGTCAGCGGGATTTCTAGGGTCAGTTAACTGATCTCCTGGGAGGACTTCCCTCCGCACAGCCGGCACCCCAAGGATGTACCAGTCCAACAATGCAGTGCTGGGGACCGTTGCGGGGTACTGGGCTCGCGGAATGACAAAGCCATGGTGAATTTCAGGGTGTATTGAGCAGCTGAGCATGGCTCTTTTCTAGCCATGTTTGGTCAAAGTGCTACTGTTTCTAATGGGGTGTAATTCTTTATCACTGTTGGAATTAAACCTTCATGAATCAACACAGGTTTTTCTCGGAATTGACATGAATGATGGGTGCTGCCTGATAGACCCGGGGCCCAATTGAGACTCTGATTTCTTTGGGCTCTAGCAAACAAGCTTTGTTTCAAGATCAGTACCAACTGATGTCTTGGCAAGTGGTTTTGGGACTTGCAGGTGGTCGGTGCTCAAAGTTTCCAACCGCTGGGAGTCTGGCAATGTTTGGCCATGTTGGCACTTTTACCTCCATCGCAGTAACCTGGAAAACTGAGTTAAACTGTTTCTTTGTGATGGGGACTTAGATTGGAAATGATTGGAATATCAGCCTGAAAGCAATGTGTTTTTACAACGCCAACAGCTTTGCCGCAATGCCCCCCTGGACTTGTGTCAAGCCAACCTGGGATATGACTTGAACGTTTGGTTCCGGTGGCAGTGATCAACGGAAAATTGTGGATATCTGCAAATGAACGGCGGGGAACATCTTGATGATTATAATAATCATGTATTGTAGCAATTATTTGTACATATCATATATTATATACATTACACATTTATGATTAATTTATAACATGTTCATTAGTAATCATTACTGTAGTACATATTAAGTACATATTGTTTATGATATATTACAATAAACGTAGGGCCTTAGGGGTCATTGTGGCTCCTTTGTGGACTTCATCAATCTTTGAAAACTTGTCCAACTTCTGCGCAGGATCATTTCAGACGTCTCCTGTCAGCCTCAAGTGCTCTCCGCTTCTACCGCCAAGGCAGTCTATCAGGCGGGCTGCAAGCAGCATGCTGCTGGTCATTGTATTTAGTATTATATAATAGTTAATATAATAAGTAATGATAAATGATGAATAAAATAATATTACAATAAGTAATAGTACTGATGAATTTCACCATGTGGGGGTTTCCATAGATGGGAATACATCAATAGCCGGATGGTTTCATGAAAAATCCACCAAACAAATGGACGATTTAGGGGTACACCCATTTTAGGAACCTCCACAAACGTTTGGGCTGTTTGATAAGACCTTGAAGGATTGCTGAGAATTGCCACTGCAACTCTGTTTCTGATGGATCCAGAGGGATTGATAGGTGTACTGATGGGATCATGAAACACATGGAACCATTTTTGGGAGAACTTTTGGAAGATCCATTTGGCAAAAAATGTGTCATTCATTATGGCTTACAATGTGGTTTCAATGGGTTAATGAAATTACACATAGAACATCATAGAACCAGATTTGTTTGGAGAAATTACCAAGTGCAAAAAAAAATGGTGTGAACAGGGTACCGATGTACTGGCATTTTTGACCCACAGCCATTTCACTCTGCTGGCGGGCGCTCGATGAATATGACCAAAGTACAGCTGGATCTGCATGTGTTTTGTGTCGCTTATGCACCAAAATTGTACAGATGGTTTCATGTCCCTACTTGCTACATCTGCCATGATCAAGATCTACACTACCTGCACATGGAATCATGTAGACATACATCATATACACGTAGATATTAATACATATGGGATCATATGGTTTGCCTAAACACAGGGTGCCATTTTCCCTATTAAACTGGCCATTGGTGGGTATCCCCTGTTTTCAAACCCATCTGCAAAATCAATGGTTATAGTTATAATGTCTTTGCCTTTGCTGTGCTATCCCCTCCATGTCTATTGATGTCTCCATGGCAAGTCACAGGATCTACACTTCTTCTTCCGCACGGAACAAGAGGCTCCAACAGATGCTTCGTTTTGTGAAGGAATCCACCAACATTTGCGAGAGATGGCCTTGTGAAATGAGTGTTAGCACTGGCACCATATATGGAAAGTATTTGATGGGATTTAGTCAACCAATGAATGGGTGAAGATAATGAATTCAAAAGATATAGTTTAAATATGTGTCTAAATTGACATAAATGGTAACTATATAGAAATTCATGGGATATTGATGGTATTTGATGGGATTTAAACAACCAATGGTTGGTGAAAATTCTGACGATGTTTTAAACAATATAAATTGTAACGACCTCACGTCACGACATACCTGTAAATCAGGGTTCATGAAGGGAGCCATCCCCTTTGAATGGCGGATTTTTGTTGTTTGAATTACAAACAAATAGCTAGTTGACAATATGATGCATGGAGTATCTACCAAAACATCAAACTTACCGAACTTACCGTAATAATCATCAAACGTGGCTTTTTTGAACACCCAACATTTAGTTCGATGAAGTTTCCTGCCCCATTTAGTTCGATCAGCAGTTCGGCCTTGCGCCGTTTGGGGGTCGTAATTTAGGGGCATGGTTTGATTAATTATTTGTATTCTATAAGGTGAAGCCTCATAGATAAGTTGATTTACAACTTTTATAACTAATATCAATGAGGATCTATAAATATCTATGATATATATATATAATATAGTAATATATATATATATATATGGACCACATGGAATTATGTGGAACATAGATAATGAACTATCATAGATATGCTATTATAGATATGAATTCTATTTGGAATTAGCTCATGGGGTGAACATAAACTAACTTGCACATCACTGGTTAACGCAATGCCTGCCTGCATCCGCCGTAGCCATCCGGGAGATTTCTGCCATGATTTGTTTTGATATGTTTTAATTTATGCATGGTATATAGACTGTATACATCATATCCGTCGTTCACGGCGCAATGGGCATCGAACGCGCCATCAAAGCCATGTCGCCGTCAGCGACTGCAAGAGCGCTGACGGTGACCGTGGTGAGTTTGACAGGGGAAACGCTGTTGGAAGAGGAGCCGATATGGGCGCTTGTTTCAATCATTTGTTACCGTAATGTGGGTGAAACAATGTCATAGACCACCCATGACTGGCAATGGATAATATATACCACCTATAATGATGGTGATGACTGGGGATGGTTGATTATTGTTTTACCCACATGACTAGGGGTAAGTATCCCGAAATAGCCAGAGTTCAGTCTGGTGAATGAGTTAATTATTCTAACTTACCAAGAATCTGAGAATTACCTTCTGGTATTTCTGGTTATTTAACATACGTAGCTATGGCAGCCATGGATAGCCATGGTGCATAGAACTAGAGGATTTATGATGACTTACCTGGTAAAAACTAGTGATTTTCCAGTTTGTTAAGTTAAAATAACCAGAGTGTATTTCATGAAACAACTGATTATACTGTACGAAACCCAATAATAAACAATCCCCAATGGAGGTTTAATATGAAATTGGGTATACCGTATCTCCACCTAGGAAGGCGATGGTGCTTATTCATTATGACCCCCCAGTCATGGTTGCTTAAGGATGGTTTATTGTTGGGTCTACTACATGAATGTATTATAATACATTATACTGAGATACAGCGCCTGAATTTCAATATCCAAAAGGAAAATTGTTGTTCCCAATTCTAGTTTCAGCTATGGGATAATGTTCGGCTAAGATATACTGGGGATGGAATGGGAACATTCATCACAATGAATTACAGGAGTATAACGACAATTTCACTATAAATTAGTATAAATTAGTGAAACACCGATCAATAAGCAAACCCGACTCTCATCCAATCTCACCATGTGGTCTTCAACAAACTTCAATGAGTTGGTCTACCATGTCATTAGGATGAATGGCAAGGTGAAAGTTAGGTTAAACATTTCATAGTTTCCCTGAAATTGAGTCATTTAGGAATATCACATCGACTTATCGTCCTCGTCCTAACATAGTTCTACAGGGCTAGCCGGCGAGTGTCCCACGTTTTTTGCCACGTTTCCTGCGGCTTTTGGAGAGGGATGATGAAACCAAGCAGTCAAGTTATTTATTAATGCGTAACGATATGTAACGATATATGCATACATAACATAACATAACATTACATTACATAACATTACATAACATAACATTACATACAGTATACAGTATCCAAGAATCCTCGGCAAAAAAAAATGACCATTTGGTCCACCTTGTGGAACTGAAGGATTGTTGGCCAAGCGGTTCAGCTGGGTGCGACGAACTGTTCTGGTTCCAAGATGTTCCAAGTTTTCTGAAAGGATTAACCCATGGCTTGGTGGTTTACTGAAATTTCAGCAATGAGCGAATCCGTGATAGAATCATTTCAAACATTTCAGCAATGAACCTGTCATAACTTGTTTGAAGGGTGTTGAATGATTCGCATCCAGTGCGCGCTTTCTCCTGAAATAACAACTCAGCGTGTGCTTCGCAAGTTGGCGCCTGCGGCGAAGGAGATGACTGCTGTGAATTCCAAGGATGTTATGTCCAAGCTGAGTGGAACCACTTGCCCCGTGGCTGCCTTGTAGGGTGATCGAAGATGATGGAAGCACCAAGCAGATCTGCTTGGATGTTTGTAACCCATGTATATGTATATTATACATAATATATATATATACCTTGGGATATTCCCTAATCTATCTCGCTGACTATCTATCTATCAATCTATCCATCTATCCATCTATCCATCTATCAATCTATCAATCTATCAATCTATCCATCTATCCATCTATCCATCTATCCATCTATCCATCTATCCATCTATCCATCTATCCATCTATCCATCTATCAATCAATCTATCTATCTATCTATCCATCTATCCATCTATCCATCTATCCATCGATCCATCTATCCATCGATCCATCTATCCATCTATCCATCTATCCATCTATCCACCTATCTATCCATCCATCTATCCATCTATCCATCTATCCATCTATCCATCTATCCATCTATCAATCTATCCATCTATCCATCTATCCATCTATCCATGTATCCATCTATCCATCTATCCATATGTCCATATGTCCATCTATCGATCTATCTATCTATCTAGCTATCTATCTATATATCTATCTATCTATCTATCTATCTTATCTTATGTTATCTTATCTTATTTTATCTTGTCTTATCTTATTTTATTTTATCTAATCTTATCTTATTTTATTTATCTATCTATCTATCTATCGATCGATCGATCTATCGATCTATCTATCGATCTATCGATCTACCGATCTATCTATCTATATCTATCTATATCGATCTATATCGATCTATATCTTTCTATATCTATATCTATCTATCTATATCTATCTATCTATATCTATCTATCTATATCTATCTATATCTATCTATATCTATCTATATCGATCTATCTATCTATCTATCTATCTATCTATCTCTATCTATCTATCTATCCATCTATCTTATCTTATCTTATCTTATATTTTATTATCTTATCTTATCTTATATTATCTTATCTTATCTTATCCTATCTTATCCTATCTTATCCTATCTATCTATCTATCTATCTATCTATGTATACATAAAACTGGTGCATCAATAAGGGCTATTACATTCTAAGTTACCACCCACTTACGATGTCTTCTTTGATGCACCCCAATGTTGATACTGTGGATGGAAGAAATCCTGCAGCCCAGTTGGTAACTCTTGGTAACTATGAAAATGAAACACTGTAAATATCTGTAAATAGTCAGATTTTTGAACGGGATAAACATCGATAAACCATCTACCAACTGGTGCAGGCTTTCTTCCATCCACAGTATGTTGATGTGGTGCAAGGTGGGGCCTCAAACGAGAGCTAAGGTGACGCACAGTTCACTTGGTGAGTTCGTTTGGGTTTTTAGGAGGATATGGAGGATATATCTATAGTTAACGGGGTTCAAAAATTCAACATCTAACTGGGTGGCCCTACCTTACCTAAATCCAGGGATTTATCATATGTTTTTTTGGGGGATATCCGCGATTTTCGGCGCCCAAAGCTCATCCTGGAGATCAGGAAGAGTGTTTCTTTTTCGGAACCCCCAACCATGGGACTCCAGCCATGATTTTCCCCTACTATTGAGGTCTGTTAATGGGAGTAGTATGGGAACTGGAGTCTCATCATGAATTCAAGTTCCAGTCCTGTAATCAAGTGCAGTATCAGGTATGATTTCAGTTTTTGATGCAAACACCAGTCACATGAAATATAAACAGACTGGGTCAGTGGCTATGTTTTCGTCACTTTATGGATCAAAGCTATCATCTTTTGTGGGGGATCGACGTCCACAAATCCCAACCAAACTGTGGTGTGAAATTAACGGGTACCAAGGTTTTGACATGAATGGTGTATTTACATCCCATTAAAGTTTCATTAATGGTACCAAATTAATGGATGTAAACTATTGATGGGATGTGGAATGGTACCACTTTAATGGTACATTAATTAAATTAATGGTACCATAGGCATTTGGAATGGGATGTAAACTGTCCATTGCAGCCTTGGAAACTGGAGAAGAGCTGATCTTGTTTGGCCACGCTGCAGGTTTCGATAAGTTGTTGATGGATGGAAACACGGTCTCTGGCAAACTTGAAGTTCCAGAGGGTATCTTGGTGGCGTCGTGGAAATGGGTGTGTCACCTTTAGGTTTGTCAAAATTATAAGGTATGGATGGGTCCAGCTCATATCCAGTACTCAATCATTATTGGGTATTCCCCATTTTTCACAGTCATTTGCGGCATTTTAAGCGGCATTTTGTACCTCAGTTCCGATGGATTCGTGCCAAACGCAGGTGCAAAGGGAGTGACTTTGACTCTGGTGCGTGCCTTGGCACATTTGGCACATCGCCTGCAGAAATACCCTCTGGCTATGACTAGCAGTTCGCCATGGGAAATGACCCATTTATAGATGGTTTACCTATTAAAAATTACCCTAATCGAAATAGATGGTTTACCGTTCTTAATAGAATGTCATAACCAGATGGTGCTTTTAATTGGACAATCATATATAAATGGAGGATTATACATGCCATGTTTGACTACCGGAGGGTAGTATGGTTGATGGTTCATTTGTGGTTTGGGTTGTTTGATGTGGACTTGTGATACCCCACAGAGAGTACCACCTTCATCCGGGTACGCTTCTTGTTCCAAAGCAACAACCCAAAGCACTGAGGAAGCATCGGTTGAGTTGATGCACGTGTGGACATAGTCATGTTTGTGCCTATGACTCTGGGGTCACATTTCCTGAAACTCAGAGACTATGAGTCAAATTTTCACACGGGACTTTTTTCCAGTCAGAGTCAGGGAACAGTGTTTGCGCCACAAATGTCAAATGCATCAAACTGCAGTGTTTCTGAAAGAAAAAGCTCTAGATTAATTTGAACAGGATAACCAACAATAACCATTCAGGGAAAATATCAAGGGCATTCCTGATCAACAAAAAACTACGTTGTTCACTTCCAAAGTGTTCGGTTTCAAAGTGTCCATACTAATGTACGTCAGGTGTTGATATGGGCTTGTTATCGGGCATCAGCGAGGACATGATGAAGGCTGGGTTTCAACTGTTGGGCTGATGACCGCGATCATTTTACAAGGGCCATGACCGTAAGGAAAATGAGATTCTGGTTGGTGGTTTCAAACATGGCGTTTATTTTCCATTTCATATATGGGATGTCATCCTTCCCATTGACGAACTCATATTTTTCAGATGAGTTGAAACCTTGAAACCAGCCAACCAGGATTCATTGAACAACCAGTGTTAAATGTTGTTAATTAATCCCATGATATTCCCATGATATATTCATCAAAATTCCCCATGATTTCAAGATATTTCAAGTGGTTCAAGTCATGTCTCCGTCGGGAGAAAACCCCCGGACCCTTGGATGCTGAAGCTGTACGTCTCCCAACTGATGGTTATCCCATACAGAGGACTGTTACTAACCAAGAGAGAACCAGTGCCCAACATGTGGGCCTCCTTAGTTGGAAGGTGTTCAATAAACACAGTCAATTGTAGATTGATCTCCATAAATTCAACACTTATTGTAGCTTGTAGTTACAAACCAGAGATATCTCGGGCCCATTGTTTTTGACAAATGGTTAAGCCTTTGTTAATGGTTGTTGGTGCTTACTTAGCCCATTAAAAAAGTGTTTTTTTACATTTGTCTAGTTGGAGGATCATCCAACTTGGCTATTTCAGGGCATGATCCTCTAGGTAGCCACAATAAGTCCATGATAAATCATAATGACAGTCTAGTTTCTACATGTTTTCCATAATAAAGCCACTATGATGTTCAATTAATTCTTTTTTTTCCCAAAAAAACAACTACCTACATTTTTCCCATCTAGCCATGTTACCCTCTGGTAAACTAACATAGCTATTGAAAATGGCCATTTATAGTGAGTTTTCCCATTTAAAAAGGGTGCTTTTCCATAGTTATGTTAGTTTACCAGAGGGTATCTCATGTTTCAATATAAACGCGCTCAGCTCGCCAGGTGCTGGAGGATTTCGGTGCCATCCAAGAAGTGCCAGCGGCCCTGGCGGATGTGACGATGGGGCAGTGCTTGTCGGTGGCCAAGCGCGACGGCACACACTGCTCCGGTGGAGGCGGGTTCGGACGGGGGTTGGGGGTTCTCATGGGAGATTTTTGTGAAAAACATAGAAAAACAAATATGAAAAAAAGAACTGTGGTAAATTTTGGGTTGTTATGAAGCTAACAATTGGTCGACCATCCTGATCATAGGGAAGTTCAGTCGAAGAAGGTACAGTATCCTCATTTCTATATGTTTGTTGTGAGTTTCACAAGAATGCAAAGCATTGACCACGTACCGGGTGGTAGTTCCATGGTGGTTCTTGAAGAGATATGGATATATTGCGCTATGAAATTTGGTGGTGGATGTATGACTGATATGTTAACAGACACATATTATAATGTGTACACAATGTATATGTAGCTAATTATACATATAATGTTGAAATATGCAGTAAAATGATATATAATGATATATATATACAGATATATTATTATCCGGGAAAGTTGGATGATTTCAGAACTGCATCTCTGAGCTCCAACGTGGTGCCCCTTCCGGGCCAACGACATCCGTTGCGACACCAGGTTTCGGTGACACAGAGCGCATGCACCACGCCATTCTGCTGCCGGATGGTCGAATCCTGGTGAAGTACCACTACTGCAGCGACTACATGGAGAACCTCGATTCTACACGAGGGGCCTTTGGGGAGACTATCTGGTTTAATGAGTTTAATGTTGCGTTAATATGAGTTGGATAGAGTGAAGTGTCATTGTAGATATACATTTGTATCTATACATATGCAGGTCTAATATGGTGAAATATGAAGAAATATGGTGAAATAAATGGGCATGATATGGTGAAAACGACAGGCGAACCATAAGCATATGATAGTGTTGGGTTTCAACGTTGTTGAATCAACAGACAGGGAGAGATCGAGCAAGAATCGGGAAAAGTGGAAGGTGGGAAACCAGCAAAAATGGGAAAACTTAGGAAGATGAATCCTGCAGAATGTTCAAGCGCCTGGTTTCATCAGCATATGGTGTATGTGAACTTTGGGTGAAATTAAGTGGTGACAGGCGTGTGCCGCAGTGATGGGTTACTATCGCGAATGCCCCATATTGATCAAGCACAGGTTGACCAAAAAAACATGGCTCAACGGCTCAACGTGACCCTCTGGTAGTCCCACCAATCAAAAGTGGCCCATAAACAATCTTCCTATTGGAATCATCACGGATCAGTTGTAAGATGTAGATGAAACCCAAGGAACCCATGGTGGTACCCCCAACTTCGTTGTTTTTGTGACATCACAAGGTGAGACCCTCCAGTGAGAAATGTTGGTCTATAAAGCCATTATATAACTATAGTATACTATAGTCATATCATGTTATTTCCCCCATAAACCCTAGTTCACGAAGTTTTCAACCTGTCTAGGGAACCGAAAACCTTGTACCCGTTTGGCCCTGAGACACTCCGGAGACTACAACTGCTCCTGCACCTGGGAGATCGCGGAGGGACGCTTTACTCCGTGTGATGAACCTGGAGTGTTGGAGGCGGAGCAAGTGGATCCCCACTGGTGAATGACTGGCCATGACTGGCATATACCCTCTGGTACTTCAGTCTATATATACCTATACACACATATTATGTGTATATATACATATATATATATATAACTATATATATATAAAACAGGGGGGCTGACGTTTGCCTGCAGGACTGCAATCTCTTTCGTTGCTTCAGAGCGTGTTTATTCGCAGACTGCGAACATGTAAGATATTGATATTGCAACGCTTACTTAAGGCATTACCGAACGCATGTTTTAAGCCATGTCTTAATCCACAATTTGCAGTGGTTCGAGCCTGAAATTAAAACCCTTAACAAACCAAAATCAACCCTAAACCAACCCGAAATAACCCCTGAACTAAGCCTAAAGCATATGAACCACCAATTAAACTTTGGCAAGCACCCGCGCCAGAGGGATATATATATAATGATATATAATATAATGATATATAATATAATGATATATAATGATATATAATGATATATAATGATATATAATGATATATAATGATATATAATGGTATTTTACATATATATATATATATTACATATCACTTGTTATGACACCATGAATCACACACCATCACACACCACCACACACCATCACACACCATCACTTCATTCTGGGATCATGCAGATATTTTTGATATGAAACAGTTGGATTGTTAAATCAGCATCTTTGACGTTGATATGAATACGCGATAGGATAACCCTTATATGGATATGGAACAACATGTTTGCCGAACAAGAAACAATCGCTTAGATTGGACATGCCTCAAAATCCCTGGTCCCCTTGGTATTTGATTGAAAATATGTATACGTATATATATATATACGTATATGTGAAAGAAAGCCATGAACTAACTTTGTAAAATGAAAGTACTGTATCATAGAAAGCCATATTTTCGCGCATATCCCCTTACATAGCCCAAATACAAAAGCCTTACATGGTAGGTAGCCTCCAATTTAGGCAGCTGAAATGGCCATTGATGTGCATCCTAGCCATTAAATCGTTGTTATATTCCATAGTCCATTGTATCCAAACCATTAACATCTTAACCATGGGATATCATATGTCCATAATATTAATTAATGATATTAAATATATGCAAATTAATATCCTAACGATTGTTATGTTGATAATATTGATTGCTACAATGAATAAGACATCCTAACCATTAAGAGAACAATGAATAATATAACAATGAAGAATACTTATGATATATCAATCTCTATTATAACAATGAAATATATACCATTATAACAATCAATTGGTCAATCCCAACCATTAATTAAACCCTAAACCATTAATATTGAGTAAACTATTAATCCATGATAGGAACTATGACATGTATACCGTTGGATAATGGTTAATAATAGTAATTTAACAATATAATCCCACTATATACCATTATACCATTATACCATTATATGGTTAAATCTACCATTATGGTCACCATTATATCATTTAACCATTTATACCATTCTACCATTATAACAATCACTATTTCTACTGAATTCCCAACCTTTGTCGGTTAAGCGTCCTTCAGGTGGAGTGGACTGCCTGGTCGGAGCTGAAACATAGCACCACCGAACCCTTTGGCCCAGGTGCGTGGCCTTTCTATTTTTGTTCGGTGGGTGTTTCATGGTTTTTGTTGATAAGATGAATCATCGTTTGATGAGATAATTATAATTACATGTATAATATATATATTTACATATATATATATACACATATGTATATATATATATGTATATATATACACCTATTCTGATATATTTTATGATTATATGATGATTTTGAATGATTGATGATTTTGAGCCCTTCACGGCGATAAACCATTTGGGATAATGACGACTTGTAGCTGGGTAAAGGTGGACACTACTCTGGTTGAAACATAGCTATGGAGAATCAGGAGTCTACCAGGTACCCTCTTGTTATTTCACATAGCTATGGAAAATGACCCATAGAAATAGGTGATGTACCTATTTATAGATGGTGATTTTCCATGGTGAACTGTTAGTTATAACCAAAGGGTAAATACTCTACACATGTTTTGTTCATAGTTATATTATCTCAATGAAGGAGATCTGACATATGGTTTTTATTTTCCACCAAACTTGGTGAACAAATCTTCTCCCCCCAATATCAAATTTAAATAGCCCCAATAAGGGATCCAAAACGAATAGATGCGGCGAACACCGGAGTTTTGAGATGGCGAACACCGCATCCCTGCACCTTCTTCCCCACATTCCTGGCATCCTGAAAATCCCCCATGTTTACTGTTTTTCAGAAGCCATCTGACAGCCTCTGTATCCTCTGGTAAATTAACATAGACCCTGAAAATAGCTTAGTTTTAATGGAAACTAATCTTCCAACCCCTATCTGCCAGGGTCTATGTTAATTTACCAGAGGGTAAAGAACTTTGGACATTCCAAATGCTTCAGCAATTGCCAAAGGGGGCAATTTCCAGCTGTTTGTTGTTGAAAGATGTTGAAAGGTGAAACACAATGAGATGGCAACATGTTTTTTTGGGCCAAAATTGGACGGCCCAAGGCCTGCAACCGTTGATCAATCTTCAGCTAAACTATCCCAAATGTGCAAGATGTTACGAGGGCAGGACCTAGTTCCACTATTATCCCACTAATGTCCTTCAAATATCCCACAATATCCCAAAGATATAAATGATTATCCCAATATTATCCTACTATTACCCCTCAAATATGCCTTAGATATCCCAAAATTGTCAATATCTTCTTGGGACTTTATTTTTCAGCTCAGGCGAGATTACCCGCAATTGGGAAGCAAAAGTCATTGACCCTGCCATGAAGCGAGGACGCAACGGGGAAATGTTGGTTGCTTCCGTCCCAAATGATGACTATAATGACTGTAGATATTGGTGGTCATGTGATGTGATGACTATAATGACTATAGTATGACATTAGCTACTGGTTATTGTTGGTTCTTTATATTTGGTTATTGATAGTCATTGATTACAGTATTACAATGACTATATATAGTCTATAGTGGTGATAACACCCATTTCTGTTGTTGAACATATGGTTAATACAGGAGTCCAGGTGGATATGTTGCTTGGTGACGTTCAGATACAGCACATGGCAAGACTCCTCGAATGGATGTCTCAACTAGTGCCCAAATGAGTTGAGACACTCATTGAAATGTTGATGGCATCAGTGCTATGACTTTGTTTCGTTCCTTAAAATCCTCCATGTGTCCAAATTATTTGCTGCTTTTGCAACCAAAAATCAATTCTTCCATTTTAGCATCCCAATGATGGTTATATCTACCATTGAAGCCATTGAAACCGACGAATGCCATATTAAACCCAGTTTAAGCGGTTTTTTTGGAATCCCTGGAGGGTGATGTCAGCGGTTCAACCCACTCCAGGACCCTCCATTCTGGTACCTACGGATCATGGGAAGTTGAGTGTGCCCAAGCTGTGTGACTTGTCCCAGCGGGTGGGTGGAAACTTCAAAAAAGGCATCATTGGAATGATCATTGGGTTTCCCAATATAGTGGTTAATAGTGGTTAATAGTGCTTAATAGTGCTTAATAACCACTATTAACCACTATAGTGCTGAATATAGTGCTTAATAACCATGGTTAATAATAGTGGTTAATAGTGGTTAATAGTGCTTAATAATGGTTAATGAGATATCTGGTTGGTGGTTTGGAACATGACTTTTATTACTTTCCAGAAACAGTTGGGAATGGAATAATCATCCCAACTCACGAACTCCATCATTTTTCAGAGGGGTAGGTCAACCAACAACCAGTATTACTCGGTAACTTTCACCGAGCTTTTCGAGTGAAGTAGTGCAATTCATCCCAAAGAGCTGTTGAGTTTTTGGTCATCTACACAGCATACAGTGTTTTTTCCCGATGGGATATGATGGGATCGTCGGGAACTAGGCTACCCATGGCTACCCCGTTCCATCCACGGCTAAAAAACCATGATGTGTTCCAATTGAATCGTTGTAAATAGTTTTTGCAAACAACCCCGACGTTATACATCGGGCACTACCTCAGGATATGGAAAATAAATGCTTGATGGCCATGTAGGCACCAGATGAGATGATAAAAGGCGGAGATAATGCACAAGAATGCTGATGTAGACGGCAAGACTGGGGATTACATACCCTCTGGTTACTGGTTATTTAACATAGCTTTGGAATTTCACCATTCTTGATTGGTAAATATGATATGTAAATAATCCATATTTCTGGACCATGTTCATCCATGTTCCATAATTAGCTATGTTAAATTACCGGAGGGTATCTAAGCGGCATTTGTAGGGAAGGAACTGAAAGTATGATAGCTTAGTCCAGTACTATGAGAAACATCAGGATGACTATCCGCCTCGAAGCCTGCCATGATAGGATTTGTGCAATTTGGATCGGGTGAATCATTCACAAATGGCCGAGGTTGTTGAATTGTTAGATTTAATCCATATATATACATACATATATATATATATACGAATGAATGAATGAATATATACATATATATATATATATATATATGCTCCATGTATGGAATATTTACCAACATTTGCCCCAAAAATCAATATACCAGCACCATGGAGCATATGGGATATATATATATATACAGCTCAAAATGGGGTAAAGCGGGATCCCACCATCCCACTGATCCCACTGCTATGCTTGGTGAATGTTCATGATTTACCCTCTGGTTATGACTAACATAGCCATGGGAAATCCATCTATAAATGGAGGTTTCTAGCTGGGAAAATCATCTATTTCAATGGGCCATGGCTTCCATGGCTCTGTTAAATAACCAGAGGGTATCACGATTTATCACGATTTATGCAGATGCCAGTAGCCCATTTCAAGGAGGAATGGCAAAACTGCCGAGAAACAGCCGAGTGACCACTGTGGGATTGGACACCATAAGAACCAGCCATTTGGGGGTCAGCCATTCATCATTCCCAAAAGGCTATAGCGGCCATAGCCAATAAGAAACCACCAACTTAGGGACGGGTTATTGTTGGGTTTGCCACATGCGCATTGATTATCACCATATATCACCATGATGCCAAAATCATCATAAAACAAGAGCAACGCCCGTGAAATATAATCCCTTCAAATTTAAGTTTTTGGATGAGTAAACCTCCCTTGTTCCTTAGTTGGGGATGGGTCTTTTGACCTCCGAATAAACTAAGTGGGAATAAACATCCATGATCCATGCTATGACGGGTATGATTTTGGTACCAGGCTCTTGACCATCGGTGAATCATCAGAAAATAACCATTTCATTCCATTGAAAAATGTCTGATGGTGCATCATGGTCTATTTTCCCTGGTTACATGGCTTTTATGACTTTCCATTCAGTTGGGAATGCCATCATCCCAACTGACGAACTCATATGTTTCAGAGGGGTAGGCTCAACCACCAACCAGTTCCGATTGAAACATAGCTATTGAAAATGGTGATTTAGTTCGTGGATTTACCCATTAAAAATGGTGATTTTCCATAGTTTTTTGTATGTTTGCCAGGCCGGGTATTTTCCGATTGAAACGGCAATCTGGTCCTCCACATCTGGTGATTTCAGGTGACGCGTGGGCCAAGGAGGAGGAAGGCGGTGTCGCCTGCGCGCGAACCAGGTCCGTACGCGTAGCGCAACTTGCTCACCGTTGCGTCGGATTTTTCGGGCAACCAAGGGAAAAGTCGAGAAAGTATTTGACAGATTTTATATTTTTATGGGATTTACTCGGATTTAATGAGCATTTAGTGGGATTTAATGGGATTTAATGGGATTTGCTGGGAATTGAATGGGATTTTACGGGATTTCATGGGGTTAAATCACCACTAAAAATATGGTGATTTCATTTGGATGAGTTGTGGTTTGACCTCACAGAAATTGGGACTTAACCAACAAAATGGTTGTTATATCTGGCTGAATTATGATGATCTCAAGTTGGCACGTCACTGGAATCCATCCCCTGGCTTTACATGACAGCTATGTTCAGCTTAGTGAATTCTGAAATTCAGCCAGGTATATTGCTTTTATATGCTAATAGAGGAAGCAGTCAAGCTGAATGTGAATTTAGCAGAGAAATCAATAGTTTTCTTTGCAATCCACTGGTGAAAATCGTCGTCGTTTGTCCAAAAACTGCTGGGATGAAGTTGCGTACATGGCATCTAAGAATTCTAAGAGTTGCCCTTTGGCAACATGGCAACATGGCAATGGAAAATCAGTAATTTATATAGATGATTTCTACATGTAAATGATCCTACCAGGGATATCCCAGCCATGTTTGAGTACCAGAGGTAGGCAAGTGCAAGCGACATAAATGGTGAACAAATGGTGACACACTGCAGGCATGCACCATTTAAAGGCACACTTCGTGTAACCTATCTAGATATCTAGCTAATCTATAATATTCAGATTATGTATATATCAGATATATCAGGATTATATTGGTATGGGTTATTCATGAGAAAGTACTTAGCAAGCTGAGGGGTTCTCTCCCAAACACTCCTCAGAAGGTACTGGGATCTGTAGGGTATACGTACATTCGTCAAGGATGGCTGTGTCAAATCCAGCCATGTTGGATTGTCGGAGCGCAGACCTTCAATACGAAAAAACCCTTTAGTTATTTAACGTAGTGAACTGGGAAATCACCATTTTTAATAGGTAAATCATAATTTTTATCATCTATAAATGGGCAATTTTCCATAGCTACGTTAAATAACCAAAGGGTAATATGTAGATTTCAGACATGATACGCATATTTAAACGACCATGATTACATGATTTCCAATGTGTCTTGATATAATCATAGTCGCAAAGCCCAAACAGATAGAACAGTCCTGGACCATCCGAAAACTTGTCTTTTCACCTTTTTGGAAAGTGCCATCTCTTGCTCAAAACGACATTTTTTGCGGGGGCAAAGCGTCCCAAAAAGGGCAAAACGACCCAAAACGTGTTTTTCCCCAACGGTCTCGGTGCCAGATACTTGGCATGATGCAATGGCACAGCTAGATGCAAACAAACTTTGAGCAAACGGCATGTGAGGCAAACCCAGTAAACCCATGCTCCCTAAAACTACCAAAAGGTATCAATGCGCCATTTTGCAAACTAGATGTCAATACGTCAAGGCAGACATTTTTGGGTTATAACATTCATTTTTGGCATACAAACTATCAAACTGGACCGAAAAAAGGCGCGAAACCCCATCAAAAAGGTGCAAAAACCGTCAAAAAGGCGCACATCGGGATTTCTGCCTTGACGTGTTTTTTGTGACACAGGGCTGTTGTGCCACTTTCGACTTCATAATGGTCAGAACACAGATCTCGATTCCTCGAAATTTTCGAAGCCAACCATTTGCAGTTGTTTTTTTAGGAAGGACGAGGCAAACATTTCCCAAACCAGGCAGAACAATGCAAATGCAGCAGAAAGACCCTTTATTATGAAAACGAACCAAAAGGCAAAAGGTACACAATTTTTGCTTTTGGCGGGTTCAGGGTGAGGGTTGTTAGATTTTATCACAGTTGTTCTCCTCCTCCGGCTCCTCCGGCTCCTCCTCCTCCTCATCCTCATCCTCCACCTCCTCCTCCTCCTTCTCCTCCACCACCTCTGCATCCACTTCCAGGTCCACTTCTGCCACTTCCATGTCCACTTCCGCCTTGCCAACTCTTCGCCAAGCTCTTCGCCAACTTCCGCACGCAGTGGGCACTGCTGGACCTCAACTGCAAGGGTCTGAGCGCACTGGGCACCGCTGGACCTCAACCTGGGACCTTCCGAGCTCAGTGAGCACCGCTGGACCTCAACCTGGGACCTTCCGAGCTCAGTGAGCACCGCTGGACCTCAACCTGGAACCTTCCGAGCTCAGTGAGCACCGCTGGACCTCAACGGCCAGATAGAATGCCAGAAGATATGCCAAGTAGAACGCCAGATAGCATGTCAGATAAAATGCCAGAAGATATGCCAGATAAAATGCCAGAAGATATGCCAGATAGAATACCAGAAGATATGCCAGATAAAATGCCAGAAGGTATGCCAGATAAAGTGCCAGAATGTTTGCCAGATAGAATGCCAGAAGATTTGCCAGATAGAATGCCAGATAGAATGTCGGAAGATATGCCAGAAGATATGCCAGATAGAGTGCCAGAAGATATGCCAGAAGATATGCCAGATAGAGTGCCAGAAGATATGCCAGAACACATTGCAGAAGATATGCCAGGTAGAATGCCAGAAGATTTGCCAGATAGAATGCCAGAAGATATGCCAGATAGAATGCCAGAAGGTATGCCAGATAAAGCGCCAGAATGTTTGCCAGAAGATTTGCCAGATAGAATGCCAGATAGAATGTCAGAAGATATGCCAGAAGATATGCCTGATAGAGTGCCAGAAGATATGCCAGAAGATATGCCAGATAGAGTGCCAGAAGATACGCCAGAACATATTGCAGAAGATATGCCAGGTAGAATGCCAGAAGATATGCCAGATAGAGTGCCAGAAGATATGCCAGATAAAATGCCAGAAGATATGTCAGATAGAATGCCAGAAGATATGCCAGATAAAATGCCAGAAGATATGCCAGACAGAATGCCAGAAGATATGCCAGATAAAATGCCAGAAGATTTGCCAGATAGAATGCCAGAAGATTTGCCAGATAGAATGCCAGATAGAATGTCGGAAGATATGCCAGAAGATATGCCAGATAGAGTGCCAGAAGATATGCCAGAAGATATGCCAGATAGAGTGCCAGAAGATACGCCAGAACATATTGCAGAAGATATGCCTTGTAGAATGCCAGAAGATATGCCAGATAGAATGCCAGAAGATATGCCAGATAAAATGCCAGAAGATATGTCAGATAGAATGCCAGAAGATTTGCCAGTAACAAGATGTATAAATGTCATGGTGGGGATAACTCGAAGTAAAGTAATTATGTTGGGTTTGGATTTTACCAACTTTTATGTTTACTACTGTAGCTATATAAACATATATATATATATAACTCATCAACGGACATTTAATATACACAATGGCCGGCTGATTGCAATTGATCTGAAATGAATTCTCAAGTTCATTGATGATTTTTGATGATTTCACAATTCTAGCATTATATATATATATGCATAATTTAGAGCGAGGGCTGACGAGGTACGAGGTGAATCTTTGCAATTTAAGCGAGGTGAATTAATTAAATTCACAAAACGAGGTGGGCAGAAATTGCTTTCAAAGCATGTGCAACGAGTGAAAAAAACTTTTCGGGCTCCAGAAAGCTTTTTTTGTTCCCATCAGAGTGAAAAAATAGAAAATTAAGGCTGCATTCAGACCCCGTGAAAAAAACTTTCTGGAGCCCGAAAAGTTTTTTTTATCGTAATTTCACTCAGTGCCCTGTGGTGGCATGCCCGGTTGTTCCAGGACTTCCGTATTTGTTCTACAGTGAAACCACTGTTTAAGAACCCACTGCATTAAGAACTTCAGGGGCTGGATTGCTGGATTCAACTCTGTCTACCAGCTAATTGAAATAAGAACCCAAGGGAACCCTGAAATTTTGGTCAATAGTTCTTATTCACCTTTCCCAGGTAGCGCGACTAGATTCTAAAATTGCTAAAGCTTGAGGTGTAGCGGGGTATCTTGGTGCTGCTGCTGCAGCTTCTCTTCTCTGGGGTCGAATTTGGGGGGAATCGAGCCCCTGCAAATCCGCTTGTAAAAGAGGCATCTCGGAAACAGGAAAAAACTTTTTAGGCCCTGAAAAGTTTTTTCAGCATCCCCAAGCCTCTGGAGCCCAGAGCGTTGCTGCAACGACGACAAAGATAATTCAAAAAAGTTCAACCCAAAAGGAGGCAGAGGACTAGTGCGAATGGCTTGCGGTCGAGAAAGAAATGGGACGAGGGCTGAAATCCGTTTTGAATGTAACGAGGCGAGGACTGAAGATTTAATCAGAGGGAAAAAGTAGATTTAAGACGAGGAAACCGTTTTGAATTTAAAGTAAATTTTGCAGATATATGTATACTTTATATTTAAGTATATGATTGTATAGTTCATATATATATATACATACATCTCACCGGATTTAACGTTGACCCCTTTAAAGAAAACCTGCGACGCCCGAGGAAATCGGAGAAGATGCCCAAATTGTCCGAGGAGATCTTGAAGACTTTGGGGATGGAGCCCAGGAGTCTCCGGTGAAGGTTGTGGGATAGTGCCATAGGATGATTAAACCAGAAAAGAAAAATATAGTGGATCTACTACCCTCTGGTAATTTAACATAGCTATTGAAAATGGTTATTTATAGTGGATTTTCCCATTAATAATGGCCATTTTCAATAGCTATGTTAAATTACCAGAGGCTATATGATCTAAGTGTATTATATCGCTATATTACTGGTTTGAAGAAGAGTAATCATAGAGTAAGAATGGTGAATACAAGCTGTAGTGGGATTACTGGATATTAATCGGCTATCTAACACTGATTGTGATGTGGGGATGGGTCAAAAATGATGAAATTACCATATGGCTGGGGGAAGAACTATCCATTAAGCAGTTATAGGGACCGTCCAGCTGCCAGGGTCTTGACTCATAGCCAAATCGCGATTTGGCCTTGTCTGGAAATAGCTACCACCAAATTGATGGTGAATCCATGGGTGTTGTTCCCATTGAAATTGCGTTTTTTGATGGGTATACACCATGTATACAAAATAACTATGAGTCAAAAACCAGCGGTTAGAGAAATCTGGATATCCAGAAAATCCCTATTTTCAATGATTAAAAGAGGGAGCTACGAATTGAGTGGGACCCAACCAAATTGATTACGTATACAACATGATAAAGTCAAGCATTCCATGTATAATTTAATTGTTCTAATGGGGGATGAAAAACCAACAACAAAGTTTTCTAGATAGATGAAAAACCAAGCATTTTCACGGATATTTGGATGTGTGTTTGTCTTCCAATGGCTATAATTGGTCCGGTGGTTGTTTTTGAGTACATTGACATCGCTACAAATGGTGATTTAAGAAATAAAGCCAACCAGAATGGATACATCATGGGATATAATTCGGTGTTCCAGTAAAGTGAGCAAAAACATTGAAGGTATTGGCAATTTTTAATGAGGAAACTAGATGAAACTAGTAACTAGTGGTGTTGGGTGAACTAAATCCAACATGTCCCATACGTGGTACATATGGATATTGCACCTTTCTCTGTGTATGTATATATATATATATGTTATTGGGTGCGTTGGCGTTCCCCTCTTTATTTGGCTTTTCTGTGAAACAATCGGAACTATATTAAAACCATTATAAACCTTCTAGGGACTATAAATTTGAAGGATCTATAATCTATATATAAATAAATTGTCAAGGTGTATTGATGAATGAAATGGTGTTCACTGTTGGATGCTGCTAACCCCTCTATGGGCAAAGGATCAGTTGAGTTGATAGTTGTTTTGCATTAGAGCTGCTCCCAGCAATACTTATCAGGCGTTCCATTTTTGATTGCAGGGCACACATCCCCAGTTACAATCTCATCTTGCTGCAGAAGCCCACTTCCCAACAAGCTAATCACTAGTAGTGCAGCATTGCAACACGAATCATCCATTACTCAATTACTCAGACGAAGCCCCCTGCGTGTCCCCAGCCAGAAGCATTCCTGCGGGGCCTCCTCTCACAATATCAAGAACATTTGCCAGCCAAAAACCATACCAAAAACCAGACATGTTGGAAGAACTATGAAGAACTCTTATGTCTGTTCCCTTAGACCATGTTGCAAGTCATGCACGTCGCCAGACCACCCCCGTCCCAACATGGAAAGACCTGCAGGATGATGTTGGGTCGCCCCATCCTGGCATGAAGCCAAGAGTAACATACCTCTAACCGCAAGAAAAAGGGCACCAAACAATTGAACCCAAGACTTTGGATTTTGTTGCTTTTCTCGGAAGAATGTATCCTATCCCAGCCCAAGGAAAAAAGTCAAACGCAGAAACTGTTCAAAAGCGAATGTGGCTGTGGCACACAAGCACTTGCTTTGATTTGTGCAATCTTTCCGCTGAGTCATAGCGGCCGCATCATGCTCAAATCATATTCTGATTCCCCCAAAGAGCGATCACAGTGCGCGGCTGAACAAAAGCCAAACATTGCCGTGTGAGAATGTGTGAGACCATTTGCGTACTGATAGCTTTTTGGGTTTGCGAAGAGCATTCAAGCGCACTTGCGTGGGGGCATCCTATGTCGCCATTTGTTCTTCGGCTATATGTAAACCCGCTTATGCAAAGAGGCCCCAGCCACCTACTCGAAGGCCAGACATCTTAAAAAGCCTTGAGTAGTGCTGGCCATCTATATCAGCTCAGCTGCTTTGTGAAGACGAGAAAAAGCACCACCAAGCACAGTGTCAACCCCAGTGAATCTTGATATTGATTGCTTGTCATGATGCACGACATGGATGCCTTGATCTTGAAGGCGTAGGCCTTGATCAAAACAAGGCATAAAAATCACCCGGGCGCATGCATATTTACACATGGCATCGCGTCGCACTGCGATGATGAATATGGTAGATTCATTGACTGGTCTCTGAGGATGTAGTTGAATACAAGGCATCATATGAACACAAAAGTAGCATTCAACAGGGCAATTTTGATGGTTGGTTTTTTGTCTATAGTTCCTCGTTGTCTAAAAATAGTTTCTAGTAGTTTTCTATATATAGTTCCCCACCACTTTATATATAGCCCCATATAGTTCCATACAGTTCCCACTAGTTTATATATAGTAATATAGCGCCAACCCCCTGACACAGATAGAGGGTGAAACACCCATATATATATACATACAATATATATATATACATACATACAATATATATATATATATGTATATGTATATATATATATATGTATATGTATATATATATATATGTATATGTATATACACACGGGTATTCACAATTTATGTGTATACCCCGGGACCCTGACATACATATAAATGTCAGTAAAAAAACGAACAACAATACAACATATCAATCATATATGGTGGCATGTACTTTACAACACTGTACCGGTCCTCTAGATATGAATGTTCATCTTAGTTGGATCATTGGTAGGTTTGCCGTAGAGATCTTGTGTAAATCCAGCGTGCACATGGATTCCTAAAATAGGACTACCCCAGTTATCATCCATTTAGTAGATGGATTTTCCATGAAATAAACCACCCCATTTACGGAAACCTCCTATGTACAAAGATATGCCCCAGCGGCCCCTGTGAGGCACTTGGCCTTCTGGGAATTGGTTTGAGACATTTGGCCTGGACCCGACGTCAAAGATGCGGGTTTCAGAAGCTGGATGGAAAAAATATGTTGGGTCAACATGTGGCAGTGTGTCAAAACCTTGTACCCCTGGTGAACATCAAAATAGCTGGTAAATGGATGTTCATCCCACTAAAAATGGTATTAATAGGTATTGATCCATACCCAGGTAACTACTCCTTTCGCTTAGCATTTCAGCATGCATATTTTGATGGGTTTGGTACCCATGGTCATAGACGGTTTTATGGAGGAACTGGTCCAGTGGTTATTGACCCATCCCCGCGTTTCGAGACTTTTAAGATGATTTGAACATACCTCTGGAGCGCAAAAACTCTGCAAGCAGGTCAACCCCGCATTTAAAATCTAGGTACTGGGCAAATTACAACTTACAATGGCAACCACCTCCCCGCAATCTCACCATAAACTTTTGGGGGGTGTGACATATTGCTGTTTGACCAGATGATTTCTATTTAGGGTCTTTCCCACAGCAATCAACTGAATTCTTCTGTAAAAGGATCCACTTGTCTTCGAGTCTCCGGGGGGGTTCGAGTAAATTTAAAGTGCTCCAATGGGGTCTGTTCGACTTATCTTCGACTAACGGTTTCAAGCTCCGGTCTCTGAGTACTGCGTGATCTACTTGCCGCGGGTGAAAGAGAGGGCATTCCTGCTGTGCAACAGTTGTACTGAGGGTATAGAATTCATCATTTTATGGTTACAAATGGTGGATTTCACCAAAGTTCTACGGGTTTTTTCAGATCATAAAACCAAGCATTTTATGGCAAACCAGTTGGGGATGTCTTAAGATCAGGAAAGCCCAAACCAAACTCATCCAAACTATTGGTCCATTGGTCGTTTTGATTGGGGAAAAGAAATGGATCATCACAGGGACGATGTAGGAGACGCTGTTGTGATGTTCATTTCTTGTTTGGTACAAGATGGGGCCCCCAGTCGAGCTCGCGTGAACCGTTGGTGAACATAAGTGGTTGAATTCTATCGTTTATGGTATATATAACGAGCTAGTTAGTGGGGATTACAATGGTTTATAAACCAACTTATAACTGGGGGGGCCCATCCTGTACATGATTCTTCGGAACATTTAAGCGACATAGGTTGTTTAGAAACATCAAATAGGTATACAGTGAGAGGCCACCAGATCCATGCCACATCGCAATGGGCATCAACGAAAGATCCCGGATTTAAATGCATTTAAGATATTCAGGGGTTCAGCAGTCGGGCACCCAGAAAACTTATACATCTATCATTTAAGATATTTAAGTACATACCCAACACTGAAGCCAAATATGTCTTTGGATACCCCCCCACTCTCCAAGAATTCCCTGCAAAAAAAAGGCGTCGCTTATTTGGGGAACAACATGAACCTGGCTCTCTACCAGAATCTAGTGTGGTGAGATATCCATCGCATTGGGAAGAGTTCTGGCATGGAGGGTGTTGAGGAAAATAGGGTTGGCAAGTAGGACCATGGTTGGCAAGTAGGACCATCAATGATGATCGATGACCTTCCAAGAATGGGGACTGATTATCATCTCTTGGTGGTTGGTGGTTTCAAACAGTTTTTATTTTCCATAGTATATGGGATGTCATCCTTCCCATTGACGAACTCATATTTTTCAAGATGTTTATTGCACCACCAACCAGATACTGTCAACCCTGGATTCGGTACTCCCCAAATAGTGATGATTTGCTACTTCAATGGGACCCCAATTGATTATCCTCCCTTGGTATGTTTCAACCAGATATAAATCCCTAATATCCCAAAAAAAATCACCATCAATAGTCCATTCATTACTGGTATGTTTCCAGTTGAACTTGTGCGGTCGCCAGTTTTTATGCGGTCGCCAGGTGGGCCCAGGTGGCTTGGTACGCTTGGTGGCACCCACAGGCCCAGATGTCCCAACAACCGGGAGTTTCTTTGGAGATGATCTGGGGATGGGTCAAAACCCTGGTACCTAGTGAACCCCAAAATAGCTGGTAAATGGATGTTCATCCCACTAAAAATGTATCTATAGGTATTGACCCATACCCATCTCCCCATATCTCCCCAACTCGGGATCAATCAGCAGTTGGATGATGTGGAAAAAATTAAAGGACAAATTTTCCTACAAAAAAAAAAGCTGGAACACATCAAAATCATGGCAACTTCAGCATGAAAATCATCCTGGGGGAGGTCCTGGGTCCCCTGGGTCCTGGGCCCAGGTTTGACCCTCCGTTTGTACCCATAAAGATGGTGTTTTTGCTCATGAGTTTAGTACTTGGACCATTCTTTGAGGGTTTTTGGAGGGTCTAGGTAGGGAGGTATTTCGTCGGGATTGAAGATATAGCCTCCACATGATTGTTCTGGGAAAAAATGGATTCAAACTAGAAAATGGAGTCCAGATGCGCTTAACTCATGCAATTCGATAAGCTTTAGAATAATAATATAAGTATATATAAGTTATGAGAATTGCCTTGGGATTTCCAAAAAGTGAAGAAAAAATCATGGTAGATCAATCACTGCTTTGAAACACCGTTGTTGAGTTTTTCCATCCAAATGGGATGATCCCCATTAGCTGACAGAGAAGATGCTGCTGATTGCTGTTTTTGAAGAGTTCTTGAATTGACCAGTGTCAAAAAACCATTGATTGTATAGGTGATATAATGGTGATATAATGGTGATATAAAGGGATTCTATTGGTATATATTTACATATATATATATATATACCTATATAATACATATATATATATATGATTCTATGATATGTATTTACAAGTGGGATCTAACCATTGGTGTCCAAAAACCCATTTGGTTTTAACTAACCTATCGAAAAGGGATCATTATTGTACTCTCCATTGCATCACCGGAGCTATAAACAAAGCAGAACCAGTTCGCAGGTTTTTGGGGATGATCGAGAAATCTATGGTAGTTGGAAATTGCGTATCATTTACATGTATACTGTATACTATTTCCATATTTCCGTACTAGTATAACATATGTATATATATATATATACGGATACGTATGTATACGTAGTAGTATTAATATGTATACACCTTCTGTACATTGAATGTTGATACATTGTATCAGATATAGCACATCATGTAGGGATAAACATAATTGGAACGTGACTGATGAATCCCAATGGACTCCCCGCATGTTCATAGCGGCTAATATACTTAGCAACCGCCAAAAAGATAGAAGTTGATAAAGTCCTGTTGGACATCCTGAACATTGAACCTTTTCTGTTTGAAACCTACCAACCATTCGAATCATGGTGGGGGATGACTATACATCCCATTCATCAACAGGAATTTCAAGACCCTAAAATCGAGGTACCGTAGTATATAAGGCTATATTAAGGCCATATTTTGTGCGGAGACCTGTAATTTCGCCCTTTTTTGCGGCGGCTTTCGTGACAGGCTTCAACTTTGGTCAGCCGTGTAATGCGACGGATCTGCCGGCTGTGTCCTCGATGGACCTGGGAGGGTTTGCTTGTTGCTGGATGGGTTGCTGGGGGTTGCTGGGATGATGAAATTACATACCCTCTGGTAAACTAACATAACTATGGAAAGATCCACCATTTTTAATGGAACAATCCACTATAAATGGCCATTTTCAATAGCTATGTTAGTTTACCAGAGGGTATTATTACTAGTGATGAAATGGATCATTCCCGAACATTCCCTACGTAAAACGCACCAGTAAGACGACTCACCATCTGCAAATCTGAAGACTTTCCATGCACTCATGCAGCATCATGCAGACATGTTTCTGCTATCAGCTTGATTCTGCTAGAGGTGGCTGGATGAACTACTTCCGGGTGCAGTTCCAGTTAAAAGTAGATATTAATTGCCATAGTTTTTAAGGGATCAGAGGTTATATCCCAACTTATTGGGGTTATTCCCATAGTCTCCATGAAAGTCATCTGTGGCCCATGCCACGGTGATCATCAGAAGTATTTGGGTCAACCTTGGATGAATTTGGATGGACAGTTTCGTCCTAGATTCCTCGATGTGTTTTTGGTTTTAACTGGGTATACATACTCACCGGCTAGAAACAAATGCAGGGTCTCTGAGATTGGCCATGATATCTCTATGGGTCCAAATACTTGTAAAGAAGGTACTTAACTTACTTAATCACTTATTTTTAAAACATACCCGGCCATCCAGCCATGTTTCCTGAGAAGGTACAGTTGGATCCATTGGGACAATGTTCTTTGCTCAAATCCCATTAATTCCCATTAGACAATTGTTCATCACTAAAGGTCCATGATATTCCCAGTTGATATAGATATATCCATTTTAATCCATATATATAATATAATATAATATAATATAATATAATATAATATAATATAATATAATATAATATAATATAATATAATATAATATAATATATATATGATATATCCATATATATAATATAATATATATATGATATATAATATATTATATATATTATATTATATATATATATATATTATATATTATATATATATTATATTATATATATTATTATATATATTATATATATTATATATTATATTATATATTATATTATATATTATATTATATATTATATTATATATTATATTATAAATTATTTTATATATAATATATTATATATATATATTATATTATTTATATTATATAATATATATATAATATTTATATATATATATTATATATATATATATTCTATATATCATATATATATATTATATTATATATATATATATTATTATATTATATATATATTATTGTTATATATATATATGTATATTTTATATTATATATAGTGTGTATATATATATATATTAGACATCCAATACATTCTCCAATGCTTCCGTCCATGGGCGCCAGCCTCAGGCCCCTTACTATGCCACCCAAGCGAACCCGGTGGACGCCACCCTGCGGCTGCCTGGTATCCTCTCGTCGGGGCACCTGCCTGATGGGGATGGCTTGAAAGTCCCCCATTTATCAATGGTACATCAAAAACCCTCACAAACCTTTATTGATTAAATGATCACAGGAATTGATTAAATGAGAAATTAAAAACAGAAATTGTTAAAAAAAAGTACTATATTGATAATTTGATGAATATTATTGATGAATATGATTGATGAATATTATTGATGAATACTGAGGAAATTCCATGATCAGTGTTTTTCAATGTTCTTCAATGTTCCATTGGGAAATTCAATACATTTTCCTCCATTCATCGATGATTTTCTCATAAAAAAATCACCCCTGTTAGAGATGTTCCCTGAACAACAACTCTAATCCCATCCCCCATTAATATTAGATACCCGCATTCTATGCTTCCAAATATGTTTTCCAATCCCTTACCAAACCATTACAATGCCCGTTTATAGGGCATTCAATTCGATGATTTTCCTGTTAGAATCCCCCATTTTCGATGTTCCCATCATTTTTCCAGAAAACAAATCAATAACTTACCCTCTGGTAAACTAACATAGCTATTGAAAATGGCAATTCATAGTTTTCCCATTAAAAATGGTGGATTTTTCCATCGTTTTTTGTATGTTTACCAGAGGGTAAATCAATCTTCCAGCCAGATGTTCCCAGCAAAATTTTCCCACCTTCACCTGTGTTCCCCAGATTTTCCCACCTTCACCTGGTTAGTAACTGGGGATTTGTTACCCCCGAAAACAATATCCCAATGAAATAATCCATGGCTACTAACTAGTTAACTTAGTTAACTAACTCCATGGCCAGGTGGGATAACTTGGGATATCACTAATTATAATCCTATAGTTATCCCAATTATAATCCATTATTATAATCCATCCCATATATAATCCAATTCTAGTTATCCCATCTAAGTGTCAGACCTGTCCTATTTTTCGCCATCCATCGCCAGGTGTGTGAGCCGCGGTTCGGAGCTGCGAACCGCCGAACTCCGCCTGGAACGGATCCTGCACGGCGGACGGGCGTGGCGGCCCGGTGTTCGTGGTGGCTTAGACGTTGAAAGGAGGTGAAAACTGGCAGAAATGGTAGTTTTTAAGACAGGTTGAAGCCAGAAGAATGCGGATTTTGGATGATTTTAGATGGTTTCTGATGAATTTCTGAGAGCTAAGGTGGTTATAACATGTTATAACTGCAAGAACTGGCACAGGAATGGAAGATATATCGAAGTTAAGCGATGTTACAGAATCGACAGAAAACACAAACTCTTGGTTAGCAGGGTGGTGAAGCCCAGCTCCAAGAGATCATCCCAGAGGAATTCTGGTGACTGGAACCGTGACAGTGATGAAAAACAGTCGAGCAACCATAACTACCTTCATGAAACTAACATTGCTATTGATAAAATCACCATAGAAATAGATGATTTACCCGCTACACATGGTGATTTTCCATGGTTATGTTTACCAGCTCACCAGCGTTTCCATGTACCTGTCCTGCAGCCACTCAGCGACCACTTTGAAATCGCCAGCGGTTTGCGTTCGGGCGATGTTTGCAAGTCGCTTCCGACAAGCTGCCAAGGCCCCCTTTTGTGGGCACAGAACGACAGGGGAATGACCAACAAAGAATGGCGATAGGAAGGACCAAAAAATGACGGCTTTAGGAAAAACGGGGAAGAAAAAAAATGAAGGTCAAGCCATGAACATGTGTGATGGAAAACAAGTTTTGGTTTTTTTTGATTCACAGCCATCCCAAGAATGCGTTGACAATAGTTGAATATATACTCACATGCTTACTGGTTATATCCCGATCAAATCTACAGGCTGGGCGTAGCCTTGTTTTCTACTGGGTCATAGCCATGAGTTTTTCCGATTTCCCTATTCACTCGTACTTGTGTAAGGCAGTGCAATGGAAAGTAATGCAATACAATTGAATGCAATGCAATGGAATGCAATGCAATGCAATGCAAGGTAATGTAATCAGATGTGATTTGATGTGATGTGATGTCATGTTATCTCATTTCATGTCATATAATGTGTTGTCATTACATGCATGTATGTATATAACTATATATGACATCCGGCTGTCCCTGTTACAATGTTGCCCACTGTGAACATCAATCGTTCCCACTAACCAACAACGTCATTACGTTGGCTACATATCATTATGTTGACCAAAGTACCGTTTCAAAGCCACCATATCCCCCATCCTCAAGAAAAAGCAGCAGTTGTGTGGGTGAAATCACCAATTTACTGGCTATCCCACGATTTTTGGTAATGTCAACCCCGGATGAAGAATCACACCATGGTTTATGAAAATGAGGGGAATAAACATGAATAAACCATGGGTAGCCTCCAAATAGTCACAATATGATACATGAATCCCATATGCTCTATGTATGGAATATTTACCAACATTTGCCCCAAAAATCAACCAAATGTAGGTAAATATACCATACATAAAGCATATGGGATATGGTAGCCCAATGAAACAGCGACATGGAGTGCTCCCCAAGCACCACCGAAATCCCCTACGGAAATCCCGAAATCGCAGGTCCTTGGCGATGCGGAGGGTTCCCGGGCTTCCCGCCGCGCTATGTCCTCCTGGGGAAGGCGACTGGTTGGACGGAAAGAAAGGTGCTGAGAAAACCCAGCGAAAATCGGGATTGAAGACGATTTAACATGATTTGAGTAAGACAAAATCACCATTTTTAATAGGTAAACCCAGGTAAACCATCTATAAATAGGCCATCATGAATACAAATGAGGATTTCAATCAGCAAACTTGTTTATTATATATTTATCCAATTATATCCAATTCATTCATCCCAGAAATAATGTGGATTCAAACGTACAGACTGTTGGATTTAGCAGAAAAAACATCTGGCTTGACAATCATGGGGATGGAGTGATGGTACCCTGTAATCAAACTTGGCAAATTCAAACTAGAATTTCCAATGGTAGCATAATCTGCCGATGCACATTGGAGTACTAGGGCCTAGGGCGTAAGTGGTTGAGAGATGTTGAGAGTCTGCTATAGGGAAGAAATTGCCAAAGCTCCAGTCAATGAGTTTCATTGTAGGCATATGGAGGCATAGAACCATCATATTCTGGTGGATACAGCTGACAACCATCTATGTGTGTGTTGATCCTAAAGGTCTCAGATGTGGGGCTTGAGACCAGAAAAAATCCAACACGTTATACCAGATGATCTACCGAACTAGAAGAGGGTGACTTTGACTTTCCAGATTTGCTGGGACACTTGAATATCGGAAATCCCCCCTAGTAAGAGTCATATTTACCGATGGGCAAGGTTTGCAGTAAATTGCCTTGCGTGAAACAGTACTGTAGTACCCTAGTGAACATCAACATAGTTGGCATAGTGTTTGCATATTGTATTGTAGGTCTTCACGGATACCCTTATAGAATGCATTTGGCAGTTCATCCTAGACAAAAATGGCACTGTGTTATAGAAGTCAACACATTGCGAATGAAAAATGAGGTGGTGAACATCATTCTAAATTCACCGCGGATGCTCACCTGGTGTTCCTTTTTTAATACAAACAGGTGTTTATTCATCGTATATCTAGGTGACCAAACAGATGGTAGGTATACTGTATGGGGTCCGTAGATGGTGCCCGGCTAGGTTGAGTAGCACCAGTGGTGCTGATGGCTTTCCATGGGTCAATGCCCGTGCCGCAGCTGCACATGGTGCAACGGTTGTGGTGGCAGATGTGAGGTGTACCAGTTTCTCATGAATTGCTGTGGATGAAACGATCGAACAAATGAACAGTTTCAGATATAGTGGAAACACTGACATTCGGAATGTTTTCAAAGAGTTTGTTTGTTTTATTGGGCGATATAATGTACTATGTGTATATATATATGTAATTGGGGACATCAGCAAACATGGATAAACAGGACGATGTCATCAAGAAAGAATTGTATACTCTCTGGCAATTCAACATAACAATGGACAATCACTTTCTTTTGCAGGTAAATCATCTGTAAATGGGCCACTTTCAATAGCTATGTTAAATTCCCAGAGGGTAAAGTCGATTGTCCCACCCCCCCAATATTAAACATCCCCTGAATGGTCCCAATTATGTGGAAATTCCCTACTAAAGCATGGTTTCCAATGTGGCTTTAATATGTTTAAGGTTAGGGTAAAGCCAATAAGCACCTGAAATTCATAAACAGGCTACATCCATGTTTTTTTTCAAGGCTACATCCCGGAGCGCTACGACCCACCAGCTTTGCCTGCAAAGGACGGCATCGGGCAGAGCCATTGAGGTCAAATCCACGGTAAATTGGAGGTTATTTATAGCTAAGAAGACCATCTATACATGGAGTAAGTGAGAGTTTTTTCACTCCATTTTTTGTGACAGCTTAAAGATTACATAAGATGACCAAACGGGCTGAAGGTTTGAGTTATAGTCTTGGACCATTTTCCATCACGCAGTTGACCATCTCTGAAAGCTGATAACTCTTGCAATCAAACCTTAAAGCTGGATAAAGCTGGCTGATGGATCCCCAAGTCACCATGGGTTTCAATAGTAAAATGGTCTAATGACTTGGATGATTTGGGGTACCCCCCTTTTCAGGAAACCTCCATATGTTTACATAGTTCACCAGGAAGATCTTCTTAGAAATGGTGTCTACAGTATGCCTCACCGCCTCACTGAGAGCGGTTTGTTGATAGCGGATAGCATCGAGGCAGACACCTATGGATCCAGCCGTAGCTTCGAAGCATGACTGGTTTTTTGGGAGTATGATTTAGGTGGTATGATTTATACCTTCTTAGTATGACTAAAAGTCCAGAGGGATTCTCTCCACATTTCTGGTGATAACCCAACTTATAGACCTGGGTGTCTAGTCCCAAGCAGGACAACACTTTGGGCGTGCCTTCAGAGCGTCACTGGCAGGAGGAGAAAAACCATGACAGTGGCGAAAATTTGAAGATGTGTTTTGTGTTTTGAGAGGGGCTATTAAAATTTGAAAAACTATGTTTCATCCATGAAACGGTTACTTTTGGATAAAACCACTATTTTGATTTATCTTGGACAATTGCTTTGGATGATAGGACTTCGGATTAAACTTGTGTCGAACCACAAGTCCATGGTTGGATTTGAGTAGAGCTGGCAGTGCAAAGGTCGCGTGAAATTGGCCAACCCCAAATGACGACTGGTGAATTTGAAGCATTCGTTACTTTCCATTCGACGATACGTAGAGATTAGGAGAGATAATAGATATGTGTATAAATATATATATATACATAATGTGTATATATATATATATATCTACATATTATATATATATTATATTATAGGAGTTGGTCAATGTTTGTCCGTGTCATTCCAGATTTGGGATCCCATGTTCTGCCCCGAAGTCGGACCCACCAGCACGGCGGCTCTTCAGCCCGCCGTGTTTGTAGGACTGGAGCACTGCTGATATTCAGACAGCGGCCGAGGATCATGTCATGATGTCTTGGTCCAACAGCAAAGCAGTCAAGGACCGATGCCAACGGCTGCACACCATCGGGCCCACGCGCCACAAAAAGGGATTTCCAAAGATGCGGAGAATTTCCAGATGGTACAGTAGCGAAGATGATCAAAGACTATATACTATGTGGCTCTAAGGAAAAGATCATATTTGACTGGTTAAAGGGAAAATCATGGAAAATCTACAGGATATCTCAATATAATATGTTGGGTCAAAAGCTACGGCTTTCGACCAGTCCAATGAAAAGAAGAAAAACACATACAGACCATTGGTATGTAAACTTTGCAACATCAACGGATCATCAACGTGTTTCTGTCCGAGATGTCCGCGATGTTTCACCAGATACTGTACACCCTCCCCTCTGTCAATCTAGCAGATCGTCATGGAAAACCACCATGTTCTCATGTTATATAATTATATATATATACATATATATATATGTGTGTGTTGGAAAACGTAAATCATCATAAATCATCCAAGTAATGAATATTAGTCTAAATAAATAAACTGACCTATCCTCAGTTTACCTTAAAGTTGTCCCAAGTAGGCCAGCTTCCACCACTACGTCCCTGAAATTGGATGATCGCATTGACCGTGTCTGCGATGTAGCTGCGACGTGTTATGTTTTGTGAATGTGGGGTGGTCATAGACATTATACATTTAACATATTTTAACCAAGCAAAATGTGAACATATAATATATATAAAAATACATATGAATAAATCATGATTCATCGGGAAAAAAAAAACAGCAACCGAGATATTAGGAGAATAGCACAATATGAGGATCATATGAGGATGAGTCGGAAAAACAAATTGAGATATCATGACATACAGTATCTACAATGTGGGGCCCCCCAGTTATAAGATGGTTTATAAACCCCATGAATGCTATAGTTATAGGTACCATAAACCATAGTTATTGGAGTTATTTGCACCAACTTAGCTATCTAGGGGGGCCCACTTTGTATCATCAGCAGTTTTTTTTTGGGTGGACCAAAAATAGCGACTAACTGAGTCGTCTTGGCACCTACTCAGGAGTCTCTCTGAGCTTCCACGGGGATGTCCACATAAAACATGTTACATTTTGCTTACTGTATCAAGTCCAATATGGCTATGGATCAATACCTATACATACCATTTTTAGGGGGATGAACATCCATTTACCAGCTATGTTGATGTTCACCAGGGGGATAGGGTTTTGACCCATCACCATATTGCATCATATTGCATCATATAATGTCCAGCCAGTTTTTTTCACATATAATGATCCAATAATATATTTCGCGAGATGTTCATCTGTCAAGCAACCCTAAGAAAAAGATAGAACTCGGTAAACACCCAATAATTTGAAGTAACTTGGACAAATAAACATGAGTTTCAATTGTGTTTAGTGGTTTTTTCTATATATCTTTCATATCACATATGCCCGTGATCACGAGCAGCTAGTGGCAGGACTTGCCAGTCTTCGAGCGCTCTGAAGGGGTCTATCTCTACGACCAGACGCGTGGCAGAGGGGGATAGGGGTTTCCTAACATGGGTAGCTCTAAATCATCCATTTCTATATGATTTTCCAACTGTAAACCATTCATCCAGCTATTCTTGGATCCCCCATGACTATGGAAAGCCATGGTGCTGAGATCTTTTCTTGGTCAGTGAGATGATTTTGATGGGATGATTCAGTGTGACTCCATGGAAAGCCTTGGATTTGGCCGTTACTAACGAGCGGCTTGCGCCATTGCAGGCCATGGAAAGTAAATCAGTTGGTCAAGCATGGTAAATTGTCACCATTTCAGACCATTTCAGTGCTCAACTCGCCAAATTTGCAACGAAAACACTGAAACATGGAAATTCATAGCCCCAAAATCCCCCATAACGAGGCCCAGAGCCAACTATCAGAAAAAGTCATCCTCATATGCTGTGTGCAGTCCTCATCTTACCGTTGGTCAAATGTTACCATCTGGTTCTAAAACAGTTCGCTATGGCAGCCATGGCCCATCAGTTCAATGATTTATGATTTGCCGTTAAGATGATGGTTTTCCAGTTCGCAAACCCTTGAATTCTCCAGAGGGTAGTGGTTATATACCATTATAAGCCCATTAACCACTTCTATATTCGTAAAATCATTGTAATGGTATAAATGTTACCATAGTGGTAATGTTATAAACCATTATATACCAATATAAACCATGATTGTAACATGTCCATTTTTGCTGGCGAAATCCTATGAAACATCTCCATAGCCAAGGAACGGGAAGCGCTTCCTGGACTGGACAAGCCAGGCGCAGCCATGTTTTTTGGGGAGAAATCACTTTTTTGTTGGTGGTTGATCCCAAGGAATGGATGATGGTGACCATTTTTTTTGTTTAAGAGAGATCACTATTGTTGGTGACTGACTCAGTTTTTTGCTGGTCATTGAATCGTACTTTTTGTTGGTCATCCTCAGTTGTTCTTGCTTCCGAACGCAGTGCAGATGTTTGTACCGAAAAATGGCCAGTTCGGCCTGAAACACCAGCCCGGTCTGTGGGCGCACGGCAGGCGGTGTGCGTGAACTTGGGCTACACAGTGCCTGAGAGCATCAAAGATGCGGTGAACGCGCAGCTAGAGACGATGCCCTACTTGTGCCTTGCCATGGATGGCAGATGCCATGCAGATCTGATGTGATTGAAACTGGGATGTTCAACAAGAACAGCACCAAAACATGGGGATTAACATGGGGATATCAATCAATCAATGAATCAGTCAACCAATCAATCAATCAATCATTCAATCAACCAATCAATCAATCAATCATTCAATCAACCAATGAATCAATCAATCAATCAATCAATCAATCAACATATATATATATATATATAATTATATCAACTCCCTATGGATACAGCCGTACCTTCTCAGGAAGTATGACTGGGGTATGATTTAGGGGGTTAAGCACCGTCTTAGAATGTATTTGGATCCACAGGACAATGATCTCAACCAATAGCAGGGAAGAAGTCAAACCAAGGAATGGGCATATTAAGCTGATACGGGGATCGCCTACTACTCAAAATGACCAATGGGCCAGTTTGTTTGAACTCTTAGCCCACTTCAGTGATTTATTCTATGTATACATACATATATATGTATACAAGTCATATCAACGAATCAATATCCATTCCTCATAACAGAGTTGTCCATATATCTCCTACTAACAATAATTGCTCATATTTTTCCATATACCATCATTGTTCCACATATTAATCATTCATCGGAACAGAGTTTTCCATATATCTCCCTAACAGCAATCATGTTCCCATATATATATAACTCTTTTGGAACCAGGTTTTAGTGTGAAAAATCATCCAAATTAAACCACCTGAGCGGATGGTGCTCCCTTGCTCCATATTTAAGGTTATGGTTCAAAAGCCTGGTACATTGGTAAACACCAAAATAGCTGGTTATATAATGGAAGGTCATTCTCCCAAGAATATGGTAACTTCATTTGTTTTAAGCCATCTTCATGAATGTTCATCATTTATTCCATATGACAAAATGACGAATATATGCCTTATTCTCTATGACATGGGATTCAAATAATTTCAGATGACATACCCTCTGGTAAACGTTTGCATAACTACAGTATGGAAAATCACCATTTTTAAATGGGAAAATCCACTATACATGGCCATTTAATGGGTGAAAACTATGGAAAATCACCATTTTTAATGGGAAAATCCACTATACATGGCCATTTTCACTAGCAAACTGTTAGTCACTACCAGGCCGGGTATTCTCCGTTGAATCCCAAAGATGTCAGTCACATGGTTCGACATCCGAGGTACGGTGGCTTGGGCTTGGCTCCTGTCCGGGCAAAGCTCGCAAAGCACCGCGGCATGGGACGCTGGTTTTTGTAAATGTTGGGAAAATGTTGGGAAAATGTTGGGAAAATGGGATGCCCGGGGCAAATTCATGGGATTTTTTTTTGTGAAACAAAAGTGGAAAAAATTGTGTTGGCACTATTTTCTATGAATGGTTTTTTGGTGGGATTAGAAGTGTATTATGCTGCAATAAACTAACATAGCTATGAAAACCATGGCCCATTTAGTATTTTTTTTACCTATGAACAATGATGATTTTCCGTAGCTATGTTAGTTTACCAGAGGGTAACCAACATGAATCTTATATTGTTGGTAAATGTCGGTGATACACCCCGGACATCCCGTTGCAATGCAGTCTATGTGATTCTTGGCATCACTTCTTTAGTCACAGATACATATATATATATATATACGCGTACATATATATATATATATACATATGTATATTATATATATATACATATGTATATTATATATATATATATTATATATATATTATATATATATATATTATATATATATTATATATTATATATGCTGTATGTATGTATATATGGTGTGTATACATGTATACATATATATATATATATGGTGTATACATATATATATATGGTGTATACATATATATATATATATTAACGGTATAACTTCTTGTTTGTTGGTGTATCCCATTAAACTGCCAATTTATTGTCTGGTGTTTAGAGGAAGCCAAGCCTGCCAAGTGATTTCTATTGATTTCGATGATCGAATTGCACAAGTCTGATTATGTCTGGGTAACTAACTAAGCACAATAAATTGCATATGTTTTTGTTTCTAGGTTGGTGAATCAGTGTTTGTAATTTGCAGATCAAGTTTGTGGGTTTTGTAGTGGGGAAATTTATCACAAAATTGCACACTAGCCCCAAATCCCCTATACCCTCTGGTAAACTAACGTAGCTATGGAAAATCCTCATTTTTGCTAGGTAAATCAAGTATAGATGGCCAGGTTCAATAGCTATGTTACCAGAGAGTAAACAAACATTCCCCTAATTATAGTGACTATTCTTTCTTCTTGTGATATGTTTCATAAACCCTAGTTATTGGCATTATTGGACTTATAACCAACTGTTTATTGGGAATAAGCCCAACTGACGAACTCCATCATGTTTCGGCGTAGGCTCATCCACCAAGCATATTATTATTAACCATCATTAACCAGTAATAATAACCATTTTCATATTAACCATGAATATGTTCACAGTAGATTACCAACCAAGCCGGGCCTTCCCCCTAGAACTGGAGGCTAATGGCCGAAATCTGCCCTGGGGACCTCAACGGTTTCCTGTTCCCCTCGGGCGGTGGCGAAGCCAATGAAGCGGCGATTCGCATGGCACGGCTCTACACGGGGAAGCAGAAGATCTTCACGCAGTACAGGTGGATTTCATACGGAACTTACGAAGATTTAATGAGATTTATCGGGATTTTATGGAACTTACTTGGAACTTAAGATTTTTGTTGGGATTTATTGGGATTTCTCATGGGATTGACTGTGAATCCAATGCGAATTGAATGGGATTTGACGGGACATTCATGGGACTTAACCAAGAAAAAGGGTGATTCCATCTGGATGAATGGATGAACCTTGCGTGACGTCACTGGAATTCATCCGAAGCGAGGATTGGAGACATCCAACATGGGCACCAGTTCAAAACACTGGGATTTAACATGTTTTTAATCACAGGTGCTGAGTTGGTGCTGGGTTGGGATTTGTACCAAGAAATGCTGAGAATCGAGAATAAAGAATCCCAAATGGGGATTGCAAACATTCAAAGTGCGGATTTAGCCACTCAAAAGACATCCAAAATGAGAATTTTACATGATTTGATTGGTGCTGAGTTGGGAGTTTAACCAAAAATGCAAGTATGGTTTCTGAGTCTGGATTCTCAGACATATCCAGAATGCTGAATCTAACCATCCAAAATGTGGAGTGAAACCCTTCAGAAGTGGGCCCTGAGGTCCCTGAGGTGCTGAGTTGGGCTTGTTAACCTGGATTTTTTGGAGCACTGCAAAGTCATAGGTGTCCTGATCAGATCATGTCAAAAGAATTTGCAAAAAGAACGGCTGGGGTGAACAATGGTGGATAGCCAGTACTTTTCTGTTTACTCATTTTACTTGACTTTTGAATACAGCTTTGGGTTTGGGAATTACCCCGGAGATCAAACATGATTGGAAATCTTCCATAAATGATATGAATTTCCAGCCACTTTTTAAACCGTCATTGAAGGAGTCTATTTTCCAGCCACCAGGTCATAAACACCGCAGGGTCATAAACCTGGATGTAAATGTTGGTTAAGTTGAGACCTTCCTAGCCATATTCTATACACAGTATGACGACATCTATAGAATCTTCTATGCATCTTTACATCTATACATGTTTCCATATACTACATATATATATATATATACGTATTTCTACAATATATGTATATACACTACACAAGATAGAAAACTATTGTATACAATCTATATCTATACAACACAAAAGTGACATTATTCCTTCTAGCTATTCATATCTATAGGATGGAGGAATATATATGAATATATCTATACATTTCTATATAACATTTATATAAGATGGTGGTATATATCTATACATATATATATAGCATAGCATGTATGGGAGAAGTTGAGAGGAGGGAAAAAAAAATACATATATATATATATATATATACATATTATAGAATCTCTATATACACTTTGATAAATCCACTTTGGGTCAAACCCCTAGATAGAGAACAAACCCCCAGTTAGCTAAAACACCCCATATATATATATATATTACATACATCCCAACTTCCCTCACGACTGGTCCCACGGTAGGTCCTACCACGGCGGTTCCACCAGTTCCCTGGGTGCCACCGGCGACTTCCGGCGGCGCTTCGCCGAGTCCAACACCCACGGTGCCCCCGAGAACACGGCGGTCGTGTTGTGAGACGGAGATAGGGAGCAGAAGCACCAGCGGATTTTCATGGGATTTTCATGGGATTTTATGGAATTTAGTGGAGATTTTGAGAGGATTTTATGGAAATTCATCGGGTTTCATGGGATATCACGAGCAATATTGGAGGATTTTACGAACAAAACTTATGGGTTAGTAAACTGGCCAACCTCACAGAGGTCTTGGATTCATGGTGAATATGTCTACAGCTGGGTAACAATATACATATATCGAACACAAAAAACCTGGAGAGGGGCCCACTTTGCATCAGAATATGAGTCACTTCAAGTCACTTCAAGTCACTTCATCCACCTGCTATTTCTATGCGGCCGTGATGCTGAAATTTGATGACCTACCTCTATGGTGATTCAACCAACTGCTGAAGTGGACCCCCTGGGAACGAACTTTTAACGATTAACAGAAGGCGTCCAGACATACATACACATAGACATATATGTATATAATTATATACATAATATATATATATATTAATATATACATATATGTATATATATACACATATATGTATACACATATGTATGTGTATATATATATATATGTATATATATATACACACATATATATGTGTATATATATAATACATATATATATATATATACATACACATAGACATACACGCTTTTATTTGAACATATGATGAATCATTTGATGTAAGTGTGTTATGTTCTGCCGTGCATCACTCCTGAGATCTTTCTTTTGTCATGCCCTGCATCTCCTGGTCCAGGGCTCCCAGTGGCAGTCGCCCGGTTGAGGTTTTGTCAAGTTTTTCAATCCACAGCCAGGTGGAAACTCAGCTGCATGGACATCATCATCCATGATTACTTTCCGGTAATCAAACGTGGCAAATGGAACATGTTGCTTCCTTTAGTGGGGAAAATCATCTATAACTAGGGGATGTTCATGTTCCATGTTCGATTATCAGAGGGAAACCAGTATTGAATACATTTTCCCATTACTATCCCACATTATTAGCCCATGATGATTGGTACCACATAAAACCACTATATATCCATTATATGTGCCATGGTCGCCATTGTCAGCTTAGTTGGATTGGATCATCCCATCAAGTGATGGGAATAAGCCATGATGTTTGGCCATGGCATGGGATGCCCATCAAAAAATATACCATTTTTAAACCGAACATGTCTGAAACACCATATTTTTTTGGGGGGATAAGTTGATAAGCATCCATAAATCCCAAGTATTTTAGTGTTCGCAAAAGGGTATCTGGTGGCGTACTTTTTCTTGCTGGCTTCACCCATTCGGTGATAAGTTGGGTACTTGTGAAGCAACAAAAAACAAACACATTTCAGCAATGCAAATGGGCTAGTACCACAAAAAAAATGGTTTAAACCTATTGTTGAGAGAGGTTTATATCAACCTGTTTTGCTGGTTATATCAACCTGTTTTGTTGGTTTCAGTCTTTGTTCATATTTGACATGTCCATCACTACCTGGGTGTCCACCCTTCATATCAGTGGAAGATGAGGTGCTGACCGTCACAATGTTGACCACGACCACTATGGTTTGTGTTGATAACATTTTGCCAAATAGATCAATGCCATTCAATACATTCAGGTGGATGATTCACCAAATGGTATGAAAGTAACATAGAATACACAATACCTAAATTGAATTTTCAGGTGGATTTTCAGGATGAAAGTCCATCAATCCTTGCGGCCCTTGGATTTTTAACAAAAAAATATCCGCAGAGTGCCTCCGTCCCGTGAGGATTTTCTTGGGGAAACACTGATCAGGGTGCTACCGAACGCACCTTAGCCTGTTTGGAGGACTGGGAGATCGGGGAGGTCGTTCAGAAAAGATGTCCACATGTCGACTGGTTCGTTCCGGCCATATCTGGTCATATATTCATATATATATATGTGGTCATATATATATATATGTGTGTTCATGTTCCAACCTGTTCCAACCCTGGAGAATAGATGAACATAGGAAAATTCATGAAAATTCACCAAGATATTTCTTGTGTGACTTGAAACCACCAAACACAGTTGGGATTCGCAATCCTGGGCCGTTCTGGTTCAACCATGAAGTCTTGCAGATCCCAATGACGGTCACATGAACTAACAACCTTAAGTGCCCGAACTGTTTGTCCGGGCTAGGTCAGTTATGGGCTGTTTTTTGTGGTTTCCTTTAGGAAATCGGAATATCAACAGATGATGATCATGGTCATACTGTGGATGGAAGAAATCCTGCATCACCTTGGATGGTTGAAACCCTACAAATAATTGGATAAACCACCTATCAACTGGTGCAGGATTTCTTCCATCCACAGTGTGTCATGAATATCAACTGGATATGTAGATCATCATGTCATCTGTCATGAGTTTTTCAACAGAGATGTGGCGCAACACCTATTTTGACCATCACATGATGATCTATTCAGTTCCCTGAGGATGTGGCGTTCCCGAATCATTCCGAAAATCATCATCCCTGCAATGTGCAGCCTCTAAGACATGTATCTCGGTTCATAGCTACAAGAACCAGAAAGAACGATGGGATTTACGGTGGACATATCTACAGTTGAATGAGGTCCATTTAACAATCTCCTGGGTATTTAGCCAACCTCCCTCAAAGACACATATCTCCGGGGGGTCCACTTGGTGTAAATCTTCCAGGATCAGATCTTGGCTGAGGGCCCCGACAGCATCGCAGCCATCATGGTCGAAAGTCACTTCGACCTCACCTTTGGGATCAGAATCATGAAAAGGATCATTTTTTATAGCAACGCAACAAGGAACATGATTACAGTACTGGTAACTTAGTATAGATGAAACAGAAGAATTTTAATTATCATTGTATAATTCTTGTATACCTCATTAAAATTATGATCAATGTCTATCCTATACAATAATAATCCATTGTATACAATTATTATCCAATGTAATGATTACAGTACTAGTATATAGTCATATAGATGAGTATATTACAGTACTAGTATAGATGAAACAGAAGAATTAAAATGAGGATAGACATATATAGACTAGACATTGTCATCACAATTTTATTGTCTCAATGAATTGGTCGCTTCGTCCTTTGCATCCATAGGGGACCCACTTCTCGATGGTCCAAACTCTCTGCAGCCCAGCAGTTCTCACTGCGTGGCGACGCGTTGCCCCCATTGGTTGATGAATACTGTGGTTTCATAATGTTTCATATACCACAAAAATTGGGACTATATTAGGGGATTATATGGGATTTTTTGGATGATCATAATCCATTTTCACTGGGTAAACTTATCATCCATGAACTGGGACTAATTATTGGGATTATAGAATGGGCTAGCGCCCTGGTGCCGCCGACCCCCCTATTTGGGGGGTCCTAAAGAGAGAGGGAGAGAGAGAGAGAGAGAGAAGGGGCATGTAGCTGTAACAGTTGTTGCCTTGGAGGCCTGCGGAAGCGTTTGGGGGGTTTGAGGCCGGGCAAACGGCAGTCTTGAACCCCCTGAAAAACAGATGGCAGGGGCATGTAGCTGTAAAAGTTGTTGCCTTGGAGGCCTGCGGAAGCGTTTGGAGGGTTTGAGGCCGGGCAAACGGCAGTCTTGAACCCCCTGAAAAACAGATGGCAGGGGCATGTAGCTGTAAGAGTTGTTGCCTTGGAGGCCTGCGGGAGGGTTGGAAGCGTTTGGGGGGTTTGAGGCCGGGCAAACGGCAGTCTTGAACCCCCTGAAAAACAGATGGCAGGGACATGTAGCTGTAAGAGTTGTTGCCTTGGAGGCCTGCAGGAAGCGTTTGGGGGGTTTGAGGGCGGGCAAACGGCAGTCTTGAACCCCCTGAAAAACAGATGGCAGGGGCATGTAGCTGTAAGAGTTGTTGCCTTGGAGGCCTGCGGGAGGGTTGGAAGCGTTTGGGGGGTTTGAGGCCGGGCAAACGGCAGTCTTGAACCCCCTAAAAAAAACAGATGGCAGGGGCATGTAGTAGCTGTAAGAGTTGTTGCCTTGGAGGCCTGCGGAAGCGTTTGGAGGGTTTGAGGCCGGGCAAACGGCAGTCTTGAACCCCCTGAAAAACAGATGGCAGGGATGTAGCTGTAAGAGTTGTTGCCTTGGAGGCCTGCGGAAGGGTTGGAAGCGTTTGGGGGGTTGGAGGGCGGGCAAACGGCAGTCTTGAACCCCCTGAAAAACAGATGGCAGGGGCATGTAGCTGTAAGAGTTGTTGCCTTGGAGGCCTACGGAAGGGTTGGAAGCGTTTGGGGGGTTTGAGGGCGGGCAAACGGCAGTCTTGAACCCCCTGTGAAAAACAGATGGCAGGGGCATGTAGTAGCTGTAAGAGTTGTTGCCTTGGAGGCCTGCGGGAGGGTTGGAAGCGTTTGGGGGGTTTGAGGCCTGGCAAACGGCAGTCTTGAACCACCTGAAAAACAGATGGCAGGGGCATGTAGCTGTAAGAGTTGTTGCCTTGGAGGCCTGCGGAAGGGTTGGAAGCGTTTGGGGGGTTTGAGGGCGGGCAAACGGCAGTCTTGAACCCCCTGAAAAACAGATGGCAGTGGCATGTAGTAGCTGTAAGAGTTGTTGCCTTGGAGGCCTGCAGGAGGGTTGGAAGCGTTTGGGGGGTTTGAGGGCGGGCAAACGGCAGTCTTGAACCCCCTGAAAAACAGATGGCAGGGGCATGTAGCTGTAAGAGTTGTTGCCTTGGAGGCCTGCGGAAGCGTTTGGGGGGTTTGGGGGGTTTGAGGCCGGGCAAACGGCAGTCTTGAACCCCCTGAAAAACAGATGGCAGGGGCATGTAGCTGTAAGAGTTGTTGCCTTGGAGGCCTGCCGGAAAGGTTGGAAGCGTTTGGGGGGTTTGAGGGCGGGCAAACGGCAGTCTTGAACCCCCTGAAAAACAGATGGCAGGGGCATGTAGCTGTAAGAGTTGTTGCCTTGGAGGCCTGCGGAAAGCGTTTGGGGGAGGGCAAGGGCGGGCAAACGGCAGTCTTGAACCCCCTGAAAAACAGATGGCAGGGGCATGTAGCTGTAAGAGTTGTTGCCTTGGAGGCCTGCGGAAGGGTTGGAAGCGTTTGGGGGGTTTGAGGGCAAACGGCAGTCTTGAACCCCCTGAAAAACAGATGGCAGGGGCATGTAGTAGCTGTAAGAGTTGTTGCCTTGGAGGCCTGCGGAAGCGTTTGGGGGGTTTGAGGGCGGGCAAACAGCAGTCTTGAACCCCCTCGTTTGGGGGGTTTGAGGGCGGGCAAACGGCAGTCTTGAACCCCCTGAAAAACAGATGGCAGGGGCATGTAGCTGTAAGAGTTGTTGCCTTGGAGGCCTGCGGGAGGGTTGGAAGCGTTTGGGGGAGGGCGGGCAAACGGCAGTCTTGAACCCCCTGAAAAACAGATGGCAGGGGCATGTAGTAGCTGTAAGAGTTGTTGCCTTGGAGGCCTGCGGAAGCGTTTGGAGGGTTTGAGGCCGGGCAAACGGCAGTCTTGAACCCCCGCAAAAACAGATGGTAGGGGCATGTAGCTGTAAGAGTTGTTGCCTTGGAGGCCTGCGGGAAGGTGCGGAAGCGTTTTGGGGGTTTGAGGGCGGGCAAACGGCAGTCTTGAACCCCCTGAAAAACAGATGGCAGGGGCATGTAGTAGCTGTAAGAGTTGTTGCCTTGGAGGCCTGCGGAAGCATTTGGAGGGTTTGAGGCCGGGCAAACGGCAGTCTTGAACGTCCTGAAAAACAGATGGCAGGGGCATGTAGGTGTAAGAGTTCGGCAGGAGCATGTAGATGGCCGGGGCATGTAGCTGACAGAGGTGTTGCCTTGATGGCGTGTGCCTTTGCTTGCGACCCGAGAGCCAAGTTCCACGCCTCCGGTGGTCCCAGGCGCCGCCCCTGCCTTGGCAAAGGCCGGGGTCGGCGGATATATGTTTTTTTTTGGATTCTCGGATTATCATAATCCTATAATCCTATATGGGTTTGTTATTATCCATGGAGTCTGGGTAACTGGGAATCCCGTTCTTGACCTTAACCAACCGGTCGCGTAACCGTCATCACGCAACGACTGCAGCGACTTTGGCTGAGATCTCACCCTGCGTTCTGAACGCACCACCGGTCGGCAGCGTGCGAGCAATGTGGGCACATGCGCAGCTGTGGTATTTGGTCGTGACCCTGTTGGCATGGGCCTTTTACACAGATCCAGCCATTTCCCAGCCGAAGGTCTTGTGTAGACCCTCCTGGGCACCCGTGTGGCTCTTGCAACAGGCCTGGTTGAAAAGATGAAATGGCAATGGGGTGACAAGGAGAGATATATCCAGGGGATTTTGAGTCGGGATTTTGAGTCATATATAGTCATATTATATCCAGGTAGACTCAAAATTGGCATCCCCGGCATGCCCCAATTTTCAGAAGCCCAAAAATCACCCATTTAGCTGGCGAAATCCGATCATCATCAAACCATGAAATCAATGAACTTTTAAGGGTCTTAGGACAGGGCGTCCGACGTAATCCGATCACAAACTATAGTTGTATAAAACATATATAAGTTGATTTGAAATTCTGTGATCCCAGTAATGTTTTTTTCATGACATCAATATTAGTGCAACTCGATAAGTCTATGTATCTATGTGCAAGTGGCTGCTGGAAGTAAAGCTCCAGCCATTTCTGGAACCAGGTTTGGCGATTAAATCACATTTTCCTCACTGGCATGGTGGTCTTGGGACTGCTTCTTGCCCCTCGTTGGCGATGAGATGTTGCACCACGCTCCGAGCCCTGTGGATTCATGATTGTAGAGGGTTATACATGGTTATACTATATATAGCTATGTGATATGAAATGTGATACGAAATGTGATATGAAATACTATATCCTCCATGTCAACCTCCATCTCAATCTGGGTTATACTATGTAACAATATGTAACATACTATCCTCTTTAATCGATGGGATGATGATCATCCTTTGAACTGGGCCAACCAGGAATCCGCTTCACCAGAAATGGAATGGAATGACTTCAGTGCCGATTTTCAAAATTTGCAGGACAAGTTCCTGGAATTGGTATAGATAAAAAAACGGTAAAAGAAACAATGTTTCTTGCAAAAACATACGTGGTTAAAGCCAGTTTGAGGAAGCGAGTCCCTGAGTCCCTATTCTTGGTAGGTCGCACCATGTTGTACCCCAACCAATTATGGTGTCATACCATCTTTTGCCCCATTATATATATATATGTATATAACCCAACATATGTTGCTATAACATGCTATTATAGTAGCTATAGCATGTCCTAATGTTATGCCCCTATACTCTTACTGTTATTTGTTGGTCTTTTGGTTACGCTGTATATCCCACCAATACACCCCATTAACATTACATCAAAATCACAATCATAACCGTCATAACGCCACTATAACACTAAAATGTTGGCTATACCCCATTCAAGCGGGGATACGATGGGGTTCTAATATTATAATGTTAGCTATACCGGCAATACCATTAGGATTAAAATCTCTATTAATATCACCATTATATCCCATTTATTATATCGCTATTCTATCCCCACAATATGGTGGTGGTATCTGGTGCTTTGATGATTTGGGGGTAGCATCATCCTATAGGAAGACCCCATATCTCCGTTATGTATTGGTTTTCACGGGAAAATCTTCACCGGAAACCATGGTGAATTTACCATCAAAAAAAGGGGGTTTCCGGTGAAAATTTTCCCATCATCCAATTCTATGATCTATCTCCGTTATACCACCAAATCATGTATTTTTCAAGGCAAGCGATTTGGTCGAGTTCCTGTTGCTACGCCTCTGCTTTTCTCTTTGCGTTTTCTTGGTGGACTTTGGAGCCTTCGCAGCCTATGGTGCCGTGGAAAACAAGAATCAAACAATAGCAAAACTTAGGGCCTCTGACTTTGGGAAATGTGTAATATATCAGGTGATCTAAAACAGCAAAAGTTTGGGCCTAGTTGGAGGATCACCCCACTTAGCAACTGGTTGGTGGGGGTGTAACCTGGTTAGCAACTGGGGATTACCCAGAATTTTGGGACTTACGATTCACCAGGATTGGTGTTACCATTAACAATCCGTGAGATGCTCCTCCAAGTAAGGCTCAGGGGAGATGTTTATATTGCGAATATGTTTGTTCACGTTCTTGACGTTCTTGAGTTGTATCTATTTTGAAATAGGATAGCGTCATATTTTGTGATCATCCAATGTGTTGTTCGGACATCTTCGGTTCTTGCTGATCTGGCAGTTTCATATCTGTATCATCCCCATCTCAGTTGATTTTCTGATGTTCCCTGAATTGCCAATTTCGCTTGTGGCTCAACAAGCAGTTGGGCCATCTCCATTATCCCAACAGCGAAATCTGCAGTTCCATTGCTTGAATCCGCAGTGAAAAAATCGGAAGTCCTGGTAGTTGAGATGTTTTTTTGAGGTGGCCATCCAAGCTTCATCTTCATCTATACTTCGTTAGCCCTGGTTTTGCCTCCCGGTGAGCCACTTGGTCACCTGAATTGTGGCTTTTGGTTTGACAGAGATCTATCCAAAACCTCCAGCAGACTCTTAAAATTTGGGATTGTGATGAGCCCCGATGCAGTTTCCAACTGGGGCTGCAGTTGGGATGACTGACTCATGGGGCCCCCACGCTGTTATTAGCCCTAGAAGTTGGGAACATATAATTCCAATAACTATGGCTACACCTAGACCCCCCATTACCCCAAAAAAATGGTAAGAAAGCCGAAATTTATGGGGTAAAGCACCCAACCGCCCAAACCTTTGGTTTTTGCCTTAGCGCGGCTAAGGCACCAGTCGGGCGTCTTGCGACTGATCGTGGCGCATCAATTAGGATCCCCAGCAATCAACAAGTTGCGCATTGGGGGCTTGGAGTATCGTGGATTGAATGATGGGTTTAACCTTTGTAACCCATAGGATCCATGTATGCTATATATGGTAACATTTACCATCAATATACCCCAAATGTTAGCATATATACCATACATGGATATACATGGATCCTATGGGTAATGAATGGAGGTCTCTTTGTTTGTATTCTATGTATATTAATGATACCTTCTTTAGATGTATCTATTCCATGTGTAGAAAAAGGATGTTTCCGAAAATTGGGTACTGTGCCCCAATAGCTGGATGGTTTTTTATCATGGAAAATCCCAAACAAAAATGGATTGCCTGACGGTACCACCATTTTAGGAATATATGTATATATACATACATACATCTGGGCAAATTATAACGACCTCACTGCGACCTCACTGGAATAGTGGTTAGTAAGGGAAATCATCCCCAAATGGCCTTATTTCAGGTCAGTGAATTATAATAATTTACCCAGATACATATATATATATACATTTATTGGTTTACAGTTCCATTGAACTATAGATATACTGTATCATATATTTACCATGGATGGGATCGTTTCACCTTGATTTTTCCCAAAAAGCTTGGCAATGGAGAGTCAAGTAAGTTTTATTTGTGTGAAACAGGTGAAAATCATCTACAAATGAGTGATTTTCATTGATTTTCCATTGCCATGTTTGAATACTGTACCGGGTACCTCTGTGAATTGATGCAACATGATGGAACAATATAGAACACATCTTCTTTGTTTGGCTTCTTGTAGTCAAGGACCCAAAAAACATCCAGACATTGTCATGTTGAATGGAACACTAAAAACGATCAATCTGAATAAATTATAGTAATAGTAATTCACCAGCCTGGAAGAAGGCAATTTGGGGATAATTCCCCTACTACAGCCATCGTTTCTGGTGAGGTCGTTTATCCAGAACAATGCTTTTTTGTGGGGCGCCCCCATTTTGAGACACTCTCCAAAATCCTTCAGGTATCTCAATTTCAGCACTCTGGAGTATCATCTCCGCTTCTCGCGAGATCGTGAGAGCTGCAAGCCTCATGCTTTGATTGAACCCATTTGGATGAGACAACGGTGGATGATCGATTTTTGCCTGCGGAATGTGTGGTTGATGAGGATTCTCAACTGCTGCGGGCCTTTGCTACAAGTAACCACAGCTGGTGACTTCATCAGTTTTGAACTTTTGAAGATCCAAGATGATCATGTTGGTGATTGCCTATTTGTTTGACCCTACCGGGTAAGGAATCAAGAAATTCAATAATTATATATTGAGCTTGATGCAAGAATTGTTAGCCCCATTACGGCTCTTAGGATCGACCCATATATCCACGTGTTCACCATGTGTTCACCATGTTTTTGGTTGCCGAGTGACATCAACCAGGTAAGCACTGCTTGTATCTGCCTTGTAGGCAGCGGCCCTGCGTTGTATGTTGCTTTTGCATTTGCTTGCAGCTTCCACTTGCTGCTCGGTGTGGATGTATTTGATCCCGACCTAGATGGAACTTGGGTGAGATGATGGAAGGTGCTCACGTCTATACGTGTTAATAACTATAATTACATAAAACAATGATGAGTTGGGCAATTTCCGGCAAATACATATCCAAATCATTCCAAGTCTATCCAAGTGGTTGAATTCAACAGTTTTTGAAGTGTGCTGTATTATTTGTTTTGTGGCCAGCTGCGGCAACGAAGGTTGTCAATTCCTTTGCTGGGAATTGTGTTTCCCTTCAACATCCCTTGTTACGTGATAGCTCTGCTTCCCAACTCAGCTCAACATGCAGCCTGCCTGCTCAGCTTTCCTGCCCTGATCACCGCACTTCTGCTGTTCAGCAGCACTTTTGTGATGGCAGAGGACTGGCCATTGAATGGCCTGCCGCTTTATCCTTACAATGCACGGCAAATTGGCAAATTGGAATCCCTATTTGGTCGCTACCTACTCGCTCATTCGGATGGCAAAGATCGTGAGTCAAGCATTTGTTTGACTGAGCTCTGCGTCTCTGCATGCCCTGCAATTTGTTTTCCGGGTCACTTCAAAGCACTCGAAGCCGCTTGGACTTGAACCTGAATCAACCATGAATCAACCTGATGTTTTTTTCTCGGGTGGTGCTTTCAAAAATGCCTCAATTAATGGCTTCCATATCCCCCGAGTATCAATCCTCGATTGACTCAGATTTTTGTTGGTTGACCTTCATGCTTCCAAGAATAGTTTTGGTGAATCTTTCTCTAGCGTCTCCAACTTTGTTAGACTTTCCTCCTTTAGGGGCAGTGAAATGAGTGGTGTCCAGATTATATAAATAATTTCATAGCAAACTGTCAAACTACCAGAGGCTAGTCAGTGGTTCACATGTTACACTTTGTTACAGTTACAAACTACCCTCTGACTACCCTCTGGTAATTTTCGCATGTTACTGGAACGTCAACAGTAACATGTGGTAATTTTAACAGATGGTACCCTGTGGTAAGTTAACATAGACCCTGAAAATAGTCATTGTTTAGTTGAAAACTAATCTTCCCCTATCTACCAGGGTCTATGTTAATTGACTGGAGGGTAATAGTGGTTATAGCTATATATATATTTATAAATGTGTATAATATCCATAACCCATAGGATCCATGTATGGGATATATGCTAACATTTGGGGTATATTGATGGTAAATGTTACCATATACAGCATACATCGATCCTATGGCTGGAAGATTCCCAATCCCCCAGGCAATCTTCGCCTGCGAGCTCGACCACTCGACGCCGTTGACTCCGTTGACCTCCGACCACCCGCGGCGAGACCTCGCGGAGTGGCTGAGACGCAGCCGGCGCTTCGTGGATCAGCGCGCGGAGGGACAACCCGGGCGATGCTTCGATGAAGTGATGGAAAGCACCGCCTAAGTCGTGGGGCAAAAATAAAAAACGAAGTCATGGGGGTGCCCGGACATGGCCATGTGTTTTCGCATTTAAAACGATTTTTTAGTGGGGAAAACATGGATTCAAATGGCCATTGAATTGAGGAACATGAAGTGAAGAACCTGGGGGAATGCTACAGAATGTTTATGAAAGTCATGGAAGAAAGAATGACTTCGTATTGAAACCATGGTGGCTTGGGGATCCCCCATGACTTAAGAAGCCCCCAATGGGCAACACAAGGTTGCTCAGTTGGGTTTGTCTGACAAAAGGATATACCTGCAATATAGCCATGTGATAGGGATAATTCATTATGATTGACTATGGGATTTTTGGGTACCCTATTTTCAGACAGACCCAGTTTTCAATTAATTGAGATGTTCTTGGATGGTTTTCGGACATGGTGCATTCAACCCGGACGTTGATGGTTGGAAGCATCTTCCTGTTCCTGGCTGGCGTGTCAATGCCAATCAGAGATCGTTCCATTGTTTCAGAGGTTTCACTTTGAAAGACATCAAATTTATATAACACGGCCTGGCCACAATTTCCAAATTATAGCAGGGAAACATACCCCATCATCCCCATCGCCAGCAAGTCCGTAGTTGCTGCTGTTTTTGTGGTGACTACATTGACACCTTTGAGGATCAACGGGGCAATTTTATGGCTTCCACAGACCGACAGACCGAGGCTTGAGCACAGAGAAAAGGCGTTTCAATAACAAGTCGAATATTGAACCCGCAAGAACTATGAATAAATGGGTTGAATTCCACATGAACAGCCACAGTTTTTGGGATAATCTATGACTTGTGATTGTTAAATGATACCCTTTGCCTTACTGGTGCTTAGTAGAAAATCAGGGAATTTTCCAATCTATAACAATTGTTCATAGTCATCCCATTCCCCCCTTCCCTAGTAAACACATGTACAGTAAACACCAGCAAGTTGCCAGATGAATTCATATTTTGTGAGCAAGAAAGCGCTGCTTCGTTCCGTTGTCCGTTCCTAGCCACGCCACGGTCTCTCGAGTTCTTATCAGTGGAGCAAGCATGATCGAGTACATTGCTGAATCATCGTGTTCTCGTTAAAAAGCTGGGAGTATACATACATGAGTATAACTACAGTATAACCCATTGTTCCACATACCTAATATAGATACTATTGGAACCAATGATGTCCTGCAACAAAAGCGCTGCCCGTCCGAGCTCCACAATGGGCGGTTGGATCCTATTAGGAGTTTGCTTTGGTAGACTATTGTTTCCATGGGTTTATTACTATGAGTTATAGCCCAACTAAAGCTTATAGGTGGTTTCAAATATGATTCCGAAATTTTCAAGCATAAAAATGGAATGGTAAACCATGATAAGCCCCATGATAAGGCCCAAAGCTTCACCGCTCCACTAGGAAGAGTCAACTTTGCTCTCCATGATGGAGCGAGTTGTGTCTCCAATTCCCATGTCTCTGAAATGATAAGATCTACAAGCAGAAAATGGATTTGTTTGTCTCATTTCTTTCAGTTTTTCGTTTGAAGATCACTTTCACCTCCGAAGGAACATGATTTGCTGAGACCAGCACTGAGAAGTGGACACACAATGGCCTCAGGCATCGTGGGTGCCGGCGGAGTTTTGGTGCCGCCGGATGGATATATTGAGGGCATCCGCGCCCTCTGCGATAAGTTTCTCGTCCGCGTGGGGGAGTATTGTGGGGCACCCAAGAGATAGGAGGATTCTGGATGATTCTGGTGGTTTGTAGCTACTACAACTGTTGGATTTAGGGTGGATACCTACAGTTCAGTGGATGAAGAAGTACGACTCTCTGATAATTTAGCAGTTGTCTTCCAGAGAAGACATCACTGGTCATGAACCCATGTTTTCACGAAACAAAGGAGTGACAGCGAAAAAACTGTAGCCTAGCCTGGTCCAAGTTGTGTATCCACGCTACTGGATATGGTCCGTCCTACTATCCACCTCATCCTGGGCCCAAGTGGGCATAAACACATTCAATTTTAGATATGATATACACCATGAATCCAAGATGTATACCCAATAAGGGTAATTTGATATTACATAGCCATGGAATATTGTCGTGTTTAAAGGTAAATCAATAGACGGGGCATTTTCCATAGCAAAGTGTTACATTATCAGAGAGTAGAAACCATAAGCCAATCCCTCAGTCGCAAGGGTTCTTTGATGAAAGGTATGGCATTTTGATGATCTGCGACGAAGTGATGGTGGGCTTTGGTCGAACTGGGCAATTCTTTGGTTTTCAACATTTTGAAGGCGCGGGTTGGACAGGATTACAGGGGGCCTCACTCTTAATTGGGGGAGTCCAGAAATGGGGGTACGCTGGGGTACCCTTAAAATGGATGGTTTATATTGGAACATCCTATCAAAATGGATGAGTTTGGGGGTTGATCATCGCAGATTTTGTTTGCTCCAGGTGTGTGAATGAATAATTTAAGCTAAAGAATGGGATTCACTTAGCCTACCAGTCCAATGTTTGCCTGCAGAGGCGTCATTCCTGATATTGCCCCATGGCTGCAAAAATTAAGCCCAGGTGGCCTCAGAAATTGGAGATGTGACGGATGTGACCCAGGTGGCCTTTCGGGGTCATAGCATTTTGATCTCCATGTTGGGACTATGATCATGCTTATCTGGTGGTTTGGAACATGGCTTTATATGCTTTTATGACTTTCCATTCAGTTGGGAATGTCATCATCCCAATTGACGAATATTTTTCAGAGGGATAGGTATACCACCCACCATGCAGTTATAGTTGTTCAATACCGGTTTGATCCGTTTGGGCTCCTCAGTCTCACAAACCCGACTCTGTGGTCATTGAACATAGCTATAAGCACTAATTATTTTGTATGGATAAATTGTCGAACTCAATGGGCCATGGCTTCCACAGTTATGTTAAATTTCCAGAGAGTAGCTACATAAACCATAGAATCACCACCTTTGTGTCGTTGATGAGATCCCATTGAAGCCCAATTAATATCCCATTCATATCCCATTTAAATTGACATGAATTCCCCACAAAAAGTACCACTAAATTCGCCCAATTAGTTCATCAATTCACCATTCGGGAAATCTCCATTTCCTCAGTTTTCTGCATGTCTGGTTGGTGCTGACTGGAACATGTTGATAAAATGATGGTCCCAAAAAAATCTCGGGAATTTGGATGAATTTGGGCTATCCCCATGTTTTGATTCCCATAGTCATGGGGATACATGATACATCATGATACCCAAAATGATGGGAATGTCATCATCCCAAAACCAGTCCCTCTTCGTCCATTTTTCGGAAGGGTCGCCTCAGCAGTCCCAGCAGTCCCCAGGTCACTAGCGCCAAGGGCCTCACTGGATCCTTCCTGCCACTGTCCATGGTCGGAGTCACTCGGCTGCGAAGCGGAAAACCATAGTCGACTGGGGATACATGGGGATACGGGATACCCAATGGATGGCTGGGCAAATCCCAATTGGATGATCGTTTTTGGGTACAGACAACTGATAAAGTCCTGCCTCGTTTTTGGGAATCACCAGAATTCGCTTGGATAAGGGGGTTAACGTAAAAGTCGTGCCTCGACCCTAAAACGCAAGCGAACTCTGACTTCAAAATAAGTTGTATTTTTGATCACCAACTTCCGATGACTGGATAGTACCATGGTGTTTGGTGGATTTTTGATATGCAAGTTGGGTCAAGGAATGTTGCGTTTAGGTTGGTTTTGTTCACAATTCCTGCATCGTTTTGGATGGGCTCAACAAATTTCAGCTTACATTGCTGTTACTGGAGACTATGAGCTTGAAGCTGTACTAAGCCATTTGTAAAGGCCGACTGGTTTGGTAGTTGTTTATTTGGTTTATTTGGTAGTTGTATTAATTATGCCATTTCAGGCATTTTTCATCTGGAAAATCGACGTGAAAATCATGTTAAATCAACACAACATGTAAGATGGAAGGTCCATTATGTCTATTTTGTTGTGGTGAAGCTAAACATGATTGAAGCTAGCCATAGCTATAGATATATGTGTATATATATATACGTATATATATATATATGTGATGAAAGTCTATGAAAAGCGTTTTTTGAAAACGTCATGGCCCCTTTTAAAAACCCACGGACATTGAAGTCATTTCTACTGAGAATTTCTGATAAAAAGTGGATGGAACTTGATGGAACCGTTTAACTATGGAACATCACCATTTTTCATAGGAAAATTCAGAAACTCAATGGTGATTTCCATGGTGATGTTAAATTACTAGAGGGTAAGTTGATTTAATCTCACTAAAGTTTCATGAACTCCGAAAAGATTGAAGAATTCTGAAGTGAACAGTTCTAAGCAAGTTCATCTACCCTACTAAAGTTGGATGATGATTTGCTCTCAAAAATCTACAAGTCAAGAAACCATGGTTCTTCACATGTTTTTTTTCTGTGAATTGCTTTCTTTGACCAATTCAATGATTATGTAATTTGCGGAACGCCCAGTGGTTCTATTTATTTGATATGAAACGCATGGAAAGGGACATATTTATATATACCATCACATACGCACATGTGGGATTTTGTAGAAACTTTTTCGGATCTCGCAAGTGGTCATGAACTCTGGTGTCTTGAACATATCGAGTAGGTGCCCCAAGGTCAGAAACATCCGTGGGATTGGAACACGTTCGGCCAAATGTCATGTTTAGTCTTTTCAACTATATACCATTTTGCTCGGTTTTCGGCCTGGTTTGGGTTCCGCCTTTTAAAAATCTCTGAAGTGAAGTCGTGAAAGCGTAGTACCAGTGGCATGAGCAAACATTGGTTGCACCCTCTTGTACATTGTGTAGTAATATGTTGTCTCCAATTCAGCGTTGGGTTCAAATTCTCTCATACGTTCATACTCTATCATACTCTCAAATCTAGTTTGGATGTAGCCTTGTGAGCTGTCTCTTTTCAGCCTGTTAGATGGCCTCTATATTGGAGTTCTGTGTATTCCTCATATTAATGTTGCGTACTGATTTGTAGATGTCAACACCCCCGTTGGATGTGCTTCCCACTATCCATGAAGAAATAGCATATGTCATGTCATCCATTGATTTTGCCAAACGATGCCAAACTACATACCCTCTGGTAATCAATCATGGCTAGCTGGAAAACCCCTCCATGAGCTCGATGAGGAAGTAATCGATCTGGTGGAGCCTGCACTAGTGATGCCCCCGGCAACTTTTAAAGGCTGATTTTTTGGGTCGGTTTGAGGCTCCCACTATTTTTGACATCTTTGAAGACACGCCTTGGCGCCTGCCGGTGTTTTCTCACCCGTGGGGTGAAGCAACCGGACACCGAGGTCCGGCAAAAGATCAAGGACTACTTTTGGGAAAATCCGGTTCCTCGCCAGAGAAAACAATGAATGCCGCAGTGGTGAGGATTCGTGAAGCCAATGATCCGAATTTAATATCAAGTGACTGTTGTTTTCAGTTCGAGACGTTGGTGGTTCAATTGTCTAGGTTTGACGTGGCATCCAGGCTCGAATTTGGCTTTTTTTGTGGGTGGTCTCCATTTTCACCAGTGATTCCCCTATGAAAAATGACCAATTATTAGACACTCACTTGGGGGTTCCTTATGACTTTGGAATAGAGTAGAGTGGATATCCCAAGAGATCCCCATTGAAGCGTTGAAAAATGAACCGTTGTTCCACTGGCACTGCTAACGCCAAGGTCGGTTGGGGCGCCACCTATCACGCTCACCCCGTGGCTTTAGCCTGTGCCTATGAGACGGTGAAGTACATGCTGAAGGAGAGTGGAGCTTTCGACCGTCCTTCATGGTGAGTTCACCGAAAAAACTTAGGTTTTTGTTTTTCCACATTTATTTAGTATGATTAGTACCCTTAGATTTCCTGGTGAATTTTCATTTTGTCCAATTTGAGATGAATAGGGAGATTTGATATGATGAAATAGGATGTGAATACATATATAATATATAGATATGATATATATATATGTGAGAGAGTTAAGGACACAATCTATGACCATCTCAGTGAGGAATTTGCTGATAAACCATACTCTATTTTCAGACGAACCCAGATTATTGGGTTGATTTTCTGATGTAAACTGAATTGGTTGCATCTCACATGAATTTTCGAGATGCAACGCATGGGTCGTCTTACATCCAATTTATTGAAGTCACTGGATGCTTTGATCCTCGATGTCAGCACTGAAGAGGTAGTATCAATGTGGAGGTGGACATTGAATGAAATTGATCACATCCATCATTCGCAGGTTCTTTTCGGAGACTCTGGGAACGCTTTTCGCTCATGGGGAAAAACAGGCTTTGGCGGGGTTCACCAGGAGCAGATCGTTGAGAAGGTTCAGAAACTCGAGCCAGTGATGATGCAGGCGGGGACGAAATTTGGCCATGAAAGCTACCCGGCCTGGTAAACATCCAAACAACGTATGGAAAATCATCATGTTTCATGGGAAAATCCACGAACTAAATGGCCATGTTCAATAGCTATGTTAAATTACCAGAGGGTATAGTTTGGTGGCCAACAGGCAACTGTTGTGGATGCTCCGAAAGGCAGCAGATTTCAGTGATTTCAGCACAATTGACCCCTCAATGAGTGGAGCTTTGCGAATTCGAGGGGCTCCAGAAAACCACCCCTCCCAGAATTTCCCCCAAAAGCAAAACTGCAGCGAGGAGCTGCAAACGTTGGTGCTGAAACACGACTCGGTGCGGCAAGCACGAAATGTGGGACTCTTTGGTGCCTTAGGCAAGAAATTTGGTTGGAAAAATCTTTGGACATTGTTTTAAGATAGTATTAAGATAGTGTCTAGAGTCTAAAGTCGTCGAACATGTATAGATAGATGATGTCTAAGGATATTGTTAGGACATGTCAGGAATTTTAATATGATATCCAAGCGAACAAAGGGGATTTTGTTGATGATGATTTAAGCAATACATGTTTGGATTTATCTTATATAATTTATCGTGCGGAAAGTCAAGCGAGTGAATGCGTAAATTTTGGGTCGGCAGAATGGAGGATGATCAGCATGGAGCAGGGGCGGGGAATATCACCACATCGTCATGTTTTCTTGCCCCCAAAAAAATAAACGGTGCCTGGTAGTGGGTCAAACCTACACGCCCCCAAAGTATCTTACTGTTAGATGAACATCCAAACATACTCGATTCTGTTCGCATTTGGCATGAATCATTAGGGTCCCAGGGTTTTTGACCCCTAGCCTCACCCAGATGGCATTGAACTATCAGAATGCCAACTGAAGATATGCCAACTGCATCAGAACTTTGATGGTTGGTGAGTTCCTGTTGATCCTCTACTACTGATTAACTGGCTATACACAGCTGGTAAGAAAAAATGTGGCCGTAAAAAATGCGGTTGATGGCAGTCGATGGCAATCCTTTGCAAAAGCAGAGTTCTGATCACTGCACGCTGTAGCGTCGTAATAGGTGCTCAGTAACATTCAGTGGGACACTGCAATCCGTACGCTCAACATTTCCAGACACAACCTCCATGTGACTAAGGTTGCTTAGATTTGCAGAAGCTTGCTTGCAATCTCAGGTGTCCTTGTTGACATACCAATTTCAGCGGACATCCCGGCATTGTGATGGTACAATTCTGCAAGGGAATCTTGTTTCAGGGACTTCACTCAATGACAAAAATCAAATCAGATAATATCAGATTCACAGACCAAAAGGACTGACCTCCCACATGCTCGTGAAGTAAGTAGAGTCTCTTCTTTGGAGACGACTTAGACAGAATCCGGGTGAACGGGGGCTGTTGACACCATCATCGGGCAATAGCCATCTGTGTTTTTCGGGCAAATGCCCAAGTCTCTCGAAAATATACACGCTGTGCCGCTGTGCCACTTACATCCCAAATAATTGATGGTACAAAATTACAGTTGTATACAGTTGGTGTGTATACATATATATATAATTACATATGTGTATTCTAACTGCTGATTGTTTCTATATTGTTCTCGTCGACAATGCCCCCATTTAATTTAGGTTGATCAAAAAACAGCACCCATCCGGTCGTAACGAGCTCCGTTACCATCCCAAATTGGGGCCATGTATAACCAATATCAATATGATCCAACATGACAATCCAATGATAGCCTATAGCCTATAGCCTACTATAGCCAATATTAAACCCACAATTAAGAAGCCTTTAAGAGCTAAAACCCACTAATTATGAGCCACAAAAATCTCCCGCCGTTTTACCTCGATATTGTCCCCGTTCAGGAACCCCGAGGGCAAGTTTATCCAACGTTTGGGTGCACCGTTGCCACCCGAAGTGCAGCTGCTGCGGCAGGCAGGGCCGAGCAGGGCAGGGCGATCTAGCCCGCATTTGGTTGATGATGATATGAGGTAAATGGAGACTTAGCCATCACTTTATAATATTTAGTGTATTTGTAGGGCTTCTAACTATCAAGAACTATCAAGAATACGGACAGGATGATTGGTTGACTTGGGGAGATTCTACGAAGCCATTTTTTTCTAGGTGGAATCATCGGATGATTCAAAAGTCCTGGATTTCATGGGTTGTCCCATCAAAAAAGGTGACAAACCGGTGAGGATTGGGTAATGACTCCCTAGCGGCCCAGTATTGTCCCTTTGATATTCGATGATATCCTAGTATCTCTTCATTAAGTCACTATCTTCGCTGGTAAAGGGTCAAAACCACTAATCCCTTCACCCTTTTTATTGAAATATATCAGCAAAACCATCAGCAAAACCGTGGATGATATGTGGATGATCTACACATGACCTACTTGGGATTCCTGTTTCGGGGTATGGGAGTTCTTTCCCAGGCTCTTCGGGATCAGGGCCTTTTGGCGCTCTTCCGACCGACCTTGCTGCATTGCTGCCCTCCACTGGTGATCCAGGACGGGGGTGGTGAAGTTACCAGGATAATATGCAACCCTGAATTGTTGAGGATTTGGGTTTTGAATCCTAGTGTACCATAGTAGATTGTTGAGGATTTACCATAGTGTACCCTGGTGAACAATTCAACAATAAGCAATGAGGATTTGGGTTTACCATAGTGTACCTCGTTGCTGGTTTACCCAATTCTATGAATCCCGCTTTGGAAGGGATATTGATTGTCCAAATGAGGACGAAGCAGATATGTTTGGCAACTCTCCGTGAAAAGTGAAAAGTGGTAGCGGGTTTCGAATGGCCAGCTGAAGGGGCTGGGGCTCCACTCATTCATAACACTTTAGCACCTCCATTGTTTAGGTTGGCATTTTTAGTTTATGGATGTTCATAGTCAACTTGAAACAACAAGTGAAGTGGTACATTATGAATTGTGGATGGATTCTTTTTCAACAGTTTTCCACATTTTTCAACATTGTGAGTTCCACTTCCATATGCATTTTTTGTTTATTGTTTGTCATACAGAGGAGTATATACTGTACTTCCTTCTTGCATCTTTCATGCGCTCCGGGTCGACCCAGATTCGTTTTTTCAGGAGGAGCAGCTGAGAGAAGGTTTCAGCATGCTCACAAAGGCCAGGGCGGCGGTTGGCAGCTGCGAAGTAAGGAAAACCGCGGCTGGAGGGGGTATCGTTGGCACCAAGCCTTCAAGCTGACGTGAGTAGATCTCTGCCCAAATAGATACCCTCCTCCCTCCGGTGTCATCAAACGTGGCTTAACAGAAAAATACCTTGAAAATCGAGGTTTCAATGAGAACATGGTCTACTGGAAGGTATCCTGAAAAAATCAGATGCCATGACTGAAATCATCAATTTTTACTGCAGATCTTTGTGTCAAAGATCCTTGAATTCCAACCTGCCAGGATTCACCCACTGGTCCTGGAATAATCTCTCTCATCCCAACTGTCTAATATTTTTCAAGATGGTTGAAACCACCAACCAGCTCTTCAGATGGCCTTCATGAGGAGTAACCAGAGAGAGTCTATAAATTGCATCAAGGTCCATCACGAACCGCACAAATATCAGTTGCATCATCTCATTAACATCCATTCATCTGGCAAAAAGTCCCTCACTTCACTCACTTCTACTTGGTTTACCCTCTGGTAAACTAACATAGCTATGGAAAATGGCCCATTTATAGATGGTTTACCTATTAAAAATGGTGATTTTCTATAGCTATGTTAAATTACCAGAGGGTACCTATGTTTACCTCTTGAAGATGTTGTTGAAATTGCCAAAGCTCCAACGATCCCCATTTTGTTCGTTTCAAGCTTCATTCCCTGCTGTTTAAAATGAAACCTGGCACTGGCGAGTCTTCAAGTTTATATTCATTCATTACTTTCATTTGTTTTTCACTCATTATTTTCCCATCAAAAGAATACAGATTTCCCAACCAGCCATGTTTCATGACCGGGTACTGTACTGCAGAGTGGTTTTAAGTTGGTTTCTTACCCATCTAACATTATTTAATCATCAGACATAGTTATCCTAGTGAACTAAACCGGACTTGGCCAACTTAGCTATAACCCACAATGATTCAGTTCTACGGGGATCTCATGGATTATTATGTATTATCTGGACCGTTATTGCTATGTACATTATATACCATGATATATCATGATATATCATGATATATCATTTTATATCATTATATATCATTATATATCATTATATATCATTAGATATCATTATATATCATTATATCTCATTATATATCATTATCATATGTTGATACATTAAGCAAATGGTTTAAGTATATCTATATGGAGGCTTCCTGAAATGGGTGGTACCCAAAATCATCCAAGTCAATAAATCATTAAACAATTTTAGAAATGAAAGCCATGGTGACTTGAGGTTCCCCCATTTAGGAAACCCCCATATGAGGATACAGTTATGAAGTATAGACTAATGATACTAAGCATACCCGTATCTATGTAGTTATATAAGTTATATATTATCATATATTATCTATATCAGTATGTGATGCTATTATATAAGTATGTCCATTTCAAGAAAGATAGATACATATGTGTATATATATATATGTATAACCAGTATATAACCCAGCTCTTAACCTTTCAACAAACCTCCCCCGCCATCGCAGGCCTTGGAGCTGCTTGACCGGGAACAGCAGCGCCTCTACTCCCTTGACGCGGACCCCAGCTTCCGCGTCCAGACCTCGACGGCCACGGCCTAGTGGCCAAGGATCGGGGGCGGGATAGGGGAAGAAAAAATCGGGTTGACAATATATATATATATATATGTTATAATATATATATATGTATGTATATATTCTTTATGAATATATCTCTAGGATAGTTAATATAATCTACAGGATGTGTTATTTGTGACCAGTCAGAAGTAAGGATTTTGTGATCTGAATATGATCTGAATCTGGATATGTCGATAGAAAAGATCGAGCTAGGGTCCTGGAAAGATGATCTAAATTCATTAGTTCATCCATCCTATCCCAAAAAGCTGATTGAAATTAGAAAACCATCAATTTTTACCCTGGTTCACGCCATGACTAGTTCGTGGACGGATGTTTTTTGGAACGGCTTGAGCTACGGGAACATGATGTTTTCAAATGCTGGTTAGGTTAATGTTAGGTATATCTCCGATTGGGGATGCACGTGTCCAGCAAAATGGATTTGTCCAAGAATGGGGTACCCAAGAATCCCGCAGTTGATTGCTCCTTTTTCAAGTGGCTCCCCTATTTAGGAGAAACCCAAATCAGGACCCTGGCTACTATATAGCCAGAACTCGTATACAAAGCTGCTGCTATATCATATAGCCATAAGCAGTACTGTATAATACTGTATATATCATGTAACTGGCAAGTTTTATTAGACAGTTCAGTTTTAAAAAAAAGCGCCATCTCCAATTCCTTCAGTGATGGGCCCCCAATTGTAAGGTTGTGATCCATGAAATCCATGGAATCCCATCTACGGTGCAAGGGCTGCACAGCTCAACACCTAAAGGAACCACATTTGTGTGTCTATATATCTATCATCTATCTATCTATTGATCGATCGATCGATCTATCTATATCTATATCTCTATCTATCTATCTATCTATCTATCTATCTATCTATCTATCTATCTATATCTATCTATCTATCTATCTATCTATCTATCTATCTATCTATATCTATCTATCTATCTATCTATCTATCTATATATCTATATCTATCTATATCTATCTATCTATATCTATCTATATCTATCTATATCTATCTATATCTATCTATATCTATCTATCTATATCTATCTATATCTATCTATATCTATATCTATATCTATATCTATATCTATATCTATATCTATATCTATATCTATATCTATACCTATATCTATCTATATCTATATCTATATGTATATCTATATCTATATCTATATCTATATCTATATCTATATCTATCTCTATCTCTATCTCTATCTATATCTATCTATATCTATCTATATCTATCTATATCTATCTATATCTATATCTATATCTATATCTATCTATAGCTATCTCTATCTATCTCTATCTATCCCTATCTATCTCTATCTATCTCTATCTATCTATCTATACATACATTACATTACATTACACTACACTACACTACATTACATTACATTACATTACATACATATACATACATAGACATACATAGACATACATAGACATACATAGACATACATAGACATACATAGACATACATAGACATACATAGACATACATAGACATACATAGACATACATAGACATACATAGACATACATAGACATACATAGACATACATACAGACATACAGACATACACATACATACATACATACATACATAGACATACATAGACATACATAGACATACATAGACATACATAGACATACATAGACATACATAGACATACATAGACATACATAGACATACATAGACATACATAGACATACATAGACATACATAGACATACATAGACATACATAGACATACATAGACATACATAGACATACATAGACATACATAGACATACATAGACATACATAGACATACATAGACATACATAGACATACATAGACATACATAGACATACATAGACATACATAGACATACATAGACATACATAGACATACATACATAGACATACATAGACATACATAGACATACATAGACATACATAGACATACATAGACATACATAGACATACATAGACATACATAGATACATAGACATACATAGACATACATAGATACATACATAGCATACATAGACATACATAGACATACATAGACATACATAGACATACATAGACATACATAGACATACATAGACATACATAGACATACATACATAGACATACATAGACATACATAGACATACATAGACATACATAGACATACATAGACATACATAGACATACATAGACATACATAGACATACATAGACATACATAGACATACATAGACATACATAGATACATAGACATACATAGACATACATAGACATACATAGACATACATAGACATACATAGACATACATAGACATACATAGACATACATAGACATACATAGACATACATAGACATACATAGACATACATAGACATACATAGACATACATAGACATACATAGACATACATAGACATACATAGACATACATAGACATACATAGACATACATAGACATACATAGACATAGACATACATAGACATACATAGACATACATAGACATACATAGACATACATAGACATACATACATATATTCCCTGCTGACCGCTGCAGGGCATATCGGTTTTCTTCCTCGCACTGCGATGGTCTTGCGGCCAGTTCACCAGTCTAGAGTTGAGACCTGGGCAGGCCGTTGGGTAATCCCTTTCCAACCGTATGATATTAAACACCTCTCAGAAACCATGGTTTATTTGGGACCATTTATAGATCCATGGGGATGTTGGATAGTGGGGGTTAAATTGATTTTGAACTACAACAATTGAATGGTCTGAGTTTGCAAATTAACTTATAATCGGGAGGAGCGCTTAGTATGTTTCATTG